GGTTGTAGAAAGTGTCGTATTTCATTTAATTTAGACTTGTACTTTAATGGACCTCAGTCAGTGGTCTAGAGGTTAAGTGTTAGCATGCGAAAACGACAGTTCTGGATTCGATCTCCGGTTGTGGCGCTGTGTATGGGATTATGGAACAGTGTATACACATGATCCTGTAAACGAAAATCGAATCCAGGACCTTCGTTCTTGTGCTCAAACGCTTGCTCTCTAACCCACTGGGCCGGGATCTTAGTCGCAAGGTCATGAGTGCGCACAGTTGTGAAGTAACAGTTTGATTCTCTTAAGTTTTCAATGATTTTTTAAATTGGTCGGTTTATGATTTCAATGAGGTTTTATCTATAAATAAGCAATAATATTGTGCTAAGAATTCTTTATTGTTATCAACATATTGAATAAAGCCACAATTAATAATCAATAATAATAATACAGTTTCCTGACTAGGTGTAAAATCATTTATAAGTTATTAGTTATTAATAATGGCTTTAGTTAATATCATATTTTTGGTAAAATATAGAATTCTCAGCACAAATCATGTCAGCAAGTTTACGTTTCTTATTTGTTGATCGATTCTGACAACAAATATTGAGTGATCGCCAGTTAGATGTTGGCGGTTAATGAATAAACATCCGAATAATGCTCATTCTCTTCAATGAATATTATCAGCCACCATGATATCTCTGATTGTACTTTCTTGTAATTTGTATAGCGAAAGGTTATGAACAGGTTATAAGCGCTCCTGAAAAGGTTATACGATTAATAGACATAGTGATGTGTTAAAACAAACAAAAAACAGATGACTTGTTGAAATATCTAGATGACAGGTATAGATAGCCCAAATATTCAAGCAGGTCACCGATCAGCATCATAATAACCTACTATACATTTGCCTTTAACACGGAGAATTATCTATTTCAGTCAAGTCGTATTTTAAACCTTAAAGTCCTAATATAATTAGAGGTTTTAAATCATGTTACAGGACGAAATCAGTCACGTAAACGCTAAAAATCGTACATAATAAAAAGCACTAGTTTAGAATTCTTCAATAGTGTACAATGACAGCACTGTACGATACTACGATCTCAGTGAGATCATCGTTGTGAAGTGATTAATTTCGATTCAATGATCTATAAATTCAAGATTTTGCTGTTGAACAAGATGTTTGTAATTGTTAAAACTTGTAGCCTGTGTGCCTTGTTAATGTATATGTAATGACACCGCCAATAAGAGAGCAGTGAGTTATCTAACGGACCAATGACGCCTGAAAACCGAGCGAGCAGTCTAGAGTACTTATCGGTCATGCTTACTGCCTAGACCAGCCAGTTGAGTCCAAAACACTAATCTCAGCCTCTACAATAGGAGTCATTTATCTCAAACATACTAAGTTAATATACCAACCAGACAGACCACATCGTACCATAAAATACAAAACAACTTTTATACAAGTATTAGCCAAATAAGGCTGTGAATGAGGGAGGTAGTAATTAATAGACAGGGTATAACTCAAGAATGGTAAATCGTATAATAATAGTTCATAGATCAAAATAATACTCATAATAAGAGGGACATGAATATGTATAGTTTAGTTATATAACAATTATACAATAAAAATATACGCATAGTAATGGTCCATAAATGGATCCTAAGAGTTATCATTCATTATGCTTATCAGGACATAACAGTAATATCGATTTAAAATAAGGAATATATGTGGATTATTTGTTGATCTGCACTCAAGTATATTGATATTTAGAGTCATCAATGAGTACTTGCAAAGTAATTAATACAAATGAGTCCAATGTAAGAGTAAATAAATATAAACTTCATTTGACGAGTATATTTTTACTTTCAAGGTAAATATGAACTGTTCTGTAAAAGTAGGTGTCATTACCAAGGTTTGATTTGATAATTTCGAATAAATTGAGCATTGGGTTGATTGTTATAAATAAAAATAATATATTTGTAATATCCCAATGAGTAGAAAATTGGATTTTCTGACGTTTCGTGGCTTAGTGTAAGTCACTTCTTCAGAGAATAAATAACCAAATTAAATTAATCCAAGTTTAAATAGTACAACGGAACAAAAGTTTTGATAATGACAGAGTTTCCAAGGTTTGTTGGGAGCTTGTAGCCTACTTTGATTACCGAGAGATAACCTTAAATCTTATCTTTCCGTTTAGGTTTTATGAAATTTGATTATCTATTTAACATCACAAAATAAATTATCTTAACGAAGAATTCACATTTTTAACAATTGCAAGTGTATTTCTGTAGTGAATGAGAACAATTTATGGATAATATCAAGTGTCTCTTACAAACTTCATCATTCCTTTATTTCTGTTATAATTAGAATTACTCATTGTTTACATTGCCATTCTCTTCAATTCGATCTTCTCAATCTTTTTCTGATAAACATTTCACTTCTGATTAGTGTGACATACTACTTATATCTGTTAACACAGGAAGGAACATGAACTCGTTGCCAGTTGTTTTTCTAAAGAAATCAATTGTTGTGTAGAGATATTATCCAAATTAGGGAAACCTCGAATATACAAATGATAAGTTTGTAATTATAAATGTGTATTTTTTGTAAGTAATAAACAATTACGACCGATTAGCTTTCTCATTTCGAGACTAGATTCATGAATTTATTGAGAGGAATTGAGCATCCAGAATCATATCTTAACTGACAAAAAGATAAAAACTTGGATATCAGTTCATTTAAATGATAGCAGACTTGTTGATTAAATTGTAGACTAATGGTTCGAATGAAGTTCAACATTATCAAGGAATAAATGATCCATGTCTGAAAGTTCCAACCTATTCTCGAAACTTTGTAAGTTTTTTTTCTCTCTTTCTCTCTATTGTCATTGATCTGAACATTTCACAAGTCCCTCTAGTACATTAATTATTCTATAGTATCCCTTTTTACCTTGCTATTATTCTTTTTTTTTAAATCAAAATTCACACAGATTTTTATGTATAATACTTTATATACGAAAATATCTCCTTGTTGTTTCTAAGGCGAAAAACCTTAATTAGTCTCTTCACTTTTTGAAAATCTTTTTTTTTCAATTTATTTTAGTGTTTAGACATTACAACTATTCAGCGTATATAATAGAATGAAGATGAGTTAAACACCTTGCTTAATACTCTTAGGGAAAATGGTTACCATGGTAAGTTTATAATTAAATATATGATTACGAAGGTGAGAATAGGCGAAATACAGACAGTGATTAATAAATCTATGTTCATGTACCTACAATTCAGAGCGGATGAGGCTGGTGAAATATTAACTCAGAGAACGACGATTAGTGTTTTCTACGCGCCCAATGGTGACAACGAGGTTAAAAGATGAATTACCTAGAATGATCACCTCATTTTGTATTTATCAGTTCAAATGTTCCTATAGAGCAAGTTACATTGGCAGAAGCTCTAGGAATTCACATTTTCGTGCTCGCGAATGCCTCCCAGCGCGGCTAAGTAAAGGTTTAGTGAAGAAAGTAAACACCTCAGTATTGGCCCATTTAGTGCAAGCTGGTCAGAGTTTCAGTATAAACTAATCCATTTCAATTATTTATCGGGTCAGTCGATTTTGCCAAAGCTTGTCAGACTTAAAGTCGTTCAAACGGCTAAAGCGGTAGTCATCCGGATGAAGAAATCTGAGCTATGTGTACAAAAAGAAATATCTTCAAACAGTGCAAAGTAGTGAATGGAGGACAGGTGATGGATGCATTCCAAGTAAGGACTGGAGTCAGACAAGGCTATCTACTCTCTCTCTTCCTCCTTCTTCTGGTGGTCGACTGGATTATGAAGACCTCGACATCTGAGGAAAAACACGGCATACAAACGACATCTCAGAACCAATTAGACGATTTGGACTTCACAGATGACCTAGCGCTCCTATCCCACAGACATGAACAAATGCAGATAAAGACAGACAGTGTAGCAGCAGTCTCTGCATCAGTAGGCCTCAGTATATACAAGGGGAAGACCAAGATCCTTAAATACAACACGGGGAACAGCAATACAATCACTCTTGATGGCGAGACTTTGGAAGATGTAGAATCCTTCACATACTTGAGAAGCATCATCAATGAACAAGGAGGATCAACTGCAGACGTAAAGTCGAGGATTGGCAAAACAAGGGCCGCATTCCTACAATTGAAGAACATATGGAACTCAAAACAACTTTCAACCAATATCAAAGTCAGAATCTTCAATACGAACGTTAACACAGTCAGTTCTACTGTACGGAGCTGAAACTTCCAGAACTACTACAACCATCATGAAGAAGGTACAAGTATTTATGAATAGTTGTCTACGCAAGATACTCAACATCCATTGGCCGGATACCAACAGCAACAGCCTTCTGTGGGAGAGAACAGACCAGTTTCCATCCGAAGAGGAAATTAGTAAAAGTCGATGAAAATGGATAGGACATACATTACTCAAATCATCAAACTACATCACGAGTCAAGTCCTAACTTGGAATCGTGAAGGGAAGTGGAAAAGCGGAAGGCCAAAGAACACATTATATTGGGAAATAGAATCAGATATGAAAAGGATGAATAACAATTGGAAAGAGCTGGAAAGTATTGCCCAGTACAGGATTGGATGGACAATGCTGCTGAGCGACCTATGCTTCTCTACTAAAAGTAACAGGCGTAAGTGCCTTAAGTCACAAGCATTATAATCAAAGATGAATGATGGTTAGTATTGAAATCCAGGATGTGAGTTTCATTCTATTTCGTACTCATCATCTGGATGTGTCTGTATCACAGAGTTGATGTCCACTCTAACACTCCATCACAATATTCTTCGCTTACAAACGCTATCCCATTATCTACCATTTAACTACTGAGTCCACCGTCAGCCACCATCTATCTTTATCCATTTAATTAATTGATTGTACAAACTAGAATATTCGTTAGGAAAAAAAAGTTATATGAAAAAATATATCGATCTATTTTAAAGTTCTGATATTGATTTTATGTAGAAATTGTTGATTTCTTATTGAATATATGAATTGGTTTCCCGTCTAACATAATTGTATTCAATAAGTCTATAGAAAAGAAAAAGAACATAATGTTTAATACATACATAGATGCAAGGTATTATTAAATTGCTCAAATACTCTTAAAGGTTTAAAGTTAGTGCATTGTGTGGTGCGTGCTACTTATATTGATATAAGTAGTATATAACGTGAGTTAAAAGAACGTAATGTCTGGCAGCAGAAGATGGAGAAGATCAAGAAAGGAAGAACGAGAACACAATGGAATTCGTAAGAAATCGCATGAACAATGAAATGTGAGACAATGGATTGATGTTTGCAACAGCAACAGTCCGGTTTGATATGATAAAATGATATTTTGCAAATTAACGTTTTACCATATGGTTTTTCTATTTTAGCAAGTAATTCTGTAACTTGTATTGAGTGCAATTTGGTTGTCCTCACCCGTGTTTTCCTTCACTACACATTGTAGTGACTAAAAGTTAAATACGTATAAATAAGGAAATTAAAATGGTTTTTAGAATTTCATGAGGTGAGATCGTGAATGCGCACTGTTGAGGAGTCCCATACTAGGACGGAACGGCCGTCCAGTGTATCCAGGCTTTCCATAGTGGTCCAGCTTCAATTGACTCATAATCTCAATTATTAAAATTAAAATGATTTTTTCATTGTGAGTTTGTGATAATTGTTGAATTTCATTAAAACCACTGATCGATCAAAGTTAAGCAACTACTGGAAAGCTAAAGCACTTGAACGATTATTTTGTTCTAATGAGATTATTAAACAGTACATATTCATGACTTCGTAACTGGAAATCGAATCCAGGAGCTTTGTTATAACGCGCGGACACCTAACCTCTAATCCACTTAGACGGAATATCGGTTTTATTTTCATTTGTGAATGGGAACTGTTGCAGATTCCAATACAAGAACGAAATGGCCATCCATTTTTTTCAGATCTTCAAACTTAGATCAGTTCATAGTTGAAATAAAATATTTTTATAAGAACATTCGTTTAAATTTAACTGATTGGTTTCATAGTATTTGGATGTCAAGTTGATAGACTTTAAAATTGATATTAAAACTACTCCTTTTTACTCGAAAGCTTTATTCAAGCTTCTTCAGGATAAATAATCAAATACCGAAATCATACAACAAACAATACTTTTAGGTTTATACTAGTCAAGGTCAAAGACGTATGACCATGTAAAAAACAGCATAATGATGTATATGTAAATGAGATATCATAGTAGTTGAATGTAAGCGTGAAAGAACATAAAATTTTCTTGAAGCATATTCCTAAATCATCAGAAGACTTTGTAACACTAGAAAATAAGTGTGTATTAGCACTGTATTTTACTGAACCTAGGTATACAAGTGAAATCAGAGATCAGTCAGTCAGTAACAACGGAGAACTTCGTACGTACGTACATCAGTTCGAGTTGCCATACCACATTAGCACACAGATGCAGTTGTCGATTCAAATCCCATAGTGGTAGAGGTAGTAAGAGTATAAGCAGTAATCGGAAAGATAGGGGTTTGTAGTTGTTATTTAAAGAGTATAATCCAGTGAAATAAATTTAGAAAGAGAAAAAAGAGACAAGGAGGAATCAGGAGGTTAGAATTTGGGAGAACACAAAGAGTGTATGCAACTGCGCCATTGCAAACGATTTTGAGCCATGTCATTCAAGGTCTCTAACCATCGGTTGCTATCATCCCAACCAAGTAATCTACACCTGCCAACATGACTCAGTCCACTTGTCAGTGACTTCATGGATTTGTGCCATGTTTTGGTCTGACTGCCCCTAGCTTTCTTCCAACCTAATCCTACACCATAAAACTCGCACGTCGAGGCAGTCGGTGGTTGAGCATACGTAACACATGTTCGAGTCATCTCAACGGATGGAGTTTCAATAATTCATCAATTGATTTGCCATCCTTACTTAGTACTCGTTTCCTAACAACTGCGTTGCTTACTCGATGGTCCCAGGATATACGAGTGATGTTTCGAAGACACCTATGATCAAATACTAGTAACCTACGAATATCCTCTACTCTTATCGGCCATGTTAATCAGTGAAGATAAAGTCATTTGAAGTAGTTCTTGTTCTTATAAAGAAATGATGATAGCTAAAGCCTTTTAAATATAAGTTAACCCAAACAATAGAAATTGAAGAGATGGAGAACCATGGTAACAAATAATTAAGATGTAAATCTTAATTTCATTTTATTATATCTTTTTTGTTTCGCATTTTTCCGGACAACAATATCTCTACATTTGCTTTAATCAACTAATTTGTTTGGATATATGATGAGTAACTAGACTATTTAGTACAACAATACTAACTTACATTTATCTGTTCATTAACTCTGATCACATGCGTGATGTGACAAGTTTGTTTTACAACATCTATTATTGTCTAAATCCATCAACAATCGTAACCTGAGGGCATATATGATTAATGATCCCACCTTACTTCTGTTCTGTATACACAAACGTACACGCTTTATCTTAGTACAATTTACACTGAATGAATCATACCCACAATACTGCAAATTCAACATACAGAAAAATTATTAACATGATTAAGAGATTTGTTTGGTATATAGTTAATCCCGTGTGCAGGATCGTGGATGCACACTGCTGAGGAGTCCCATACTACGACGAAACGGCCATCTAGTATTTCTGGGTTTTAAATGGTAGTCAAACTTAGATCAACTCGTAAATTTAACTGTGAAAATTCCTGTTTACATTCACATTAGGTCAATTTACAGATGAATGAAGTAAAAGAGAATCAGAGAAATACCATAACGTAATGGAGTACGTTGATATGATCACTATAGACAGAATGATAAAATTGATAATAATTACTGAAGTGCGATAGTGAAGTGATCGTAATGGAAACGACTAATCTTATTATTTTAACATTATTTAATAGAATGTTTTACATCTTGTCAACTTTGATACTATCTAATTATAATCACCGTTATTTTATTATTGTTCTCATGTTAACTACTAACAATTCTATCATTTTGCCTATAGTGATCATATCAATGGATAGATGCTTCCAGTAATCCATTGCGTCATAATCTCTCTTTGTCTCTCGCATAACTCATTCATCTGTACATTGACCTTGTGTGAATATAAACGGGAATTATAAATATTTTTCTTTAGTGAACTAAATAACTTTATATATGGTGTACGTATAATTGTACTTGTAAAACATTTTGCTTATTTTGTAGAAATCAACCTCAACGGTGTTTGAAATCAGAAAGCAAGAAGAAGCGGCAACTACAGTTTATTAGCAGATAGCACAGATCACAAAGCTATAGGCACATAGAGCGAATTTGAGGAGGAGTTAGCTCACATGCTAGATTAAAACTGTCAGGGTTTGCAATATTATTTTGTCTATTTGATTGTCTATTAAATGATATAAACCAAACGTTATCGTGATTGCTTAGACAGGTAGTTACAAAATGACTTTGTTTCATTATTAAATATGACAATTTGTGTGAAACAAAATATATATCTTCTGTGGTTTTAGTGAAGTTATCAAACTCTAGATGATTTATTTATATTTCACAGATTGAAATCATGAGTCAATTGAAGCTAGACTACCGTGGAAAACCCAGAAACATTGGACGGCTGCTTCGTCCTAGTGTGGGACTCCTCAGCAGTGCGCATCGACGATCTCGCACCCCGCGAGATTAGAACCCAGGACCAATCAGTCTCGCGCCAGGCGTTTAACCAACTAGAGCACTGAGCTTCCAGGTTTTCTATGGTGGTCTAGCTTCAATTGACTCATGATTTCAATCTGTGAAATTTCTAAAATCTCCACAAACCCCTTCTGATGACTTACTTATATGTCACATTGAAATTAATCATGAAAAATTACTGTATGTACCACATTCCACTTGATTTAAGTTATACAAAGGAAAGAAAGTTTGCATCTGTTTCTTTGTTGAAATATGTAGGAGAGTTGCATTTGAAACTATAAAACAGTTACTTTTTGGGAATAGTTTAAATATAATTCCCAATTTTGATATACCACTTATCGATTTATCATGTTCATTGAGATCATGAATCGATAAATATTAGACCATCATTGAAAGGCTGGAAGTACTAGACGGCCGTTTCATCCTAGTATGGGACTCCTCATTAGTGCGCATCCACGACCTCGCACACCAGATCCAAACCCAGGACCTTCGTTGATTAGTCGGAGTTAGACATTAACACCGTTGGATTCTGGCTCAGTGGTTTAGAGGTTAAGCATTAGAGCGCGAAACCGAAGGTCTTGGATTTGAGTCCTAAGTATAGGATCGTGGATGCTCACTACTGAAGAGCCTCATACTAGGACGAAACAGCCGTCAAGTGCTTCTAGGTTTTTAATTATGGTCCAATATTCATAGATTAATGATCTCGATCAAAATCCTAGCAATTTTCAGAACTCCACACTGATAATATCGATTTATCATTGAAAGAATGCTGTTTAACTAGAAAAAAATGTGTTGCAATATGCTTTAACCCATAGTATATATATACGCCAAAACTATATGTATCTAACATTTATGTTTACTCATTATCTGCTGAATCTTATTACTGGTACTATAGTCATTTACCGCCTAACATTGTAAGTTATTTTTCTGCCAGAGTTTTACAACATAATAAGTCTCATATTTCGAAAACTGAACTGCGAAACTCTTTTAAGTGTTTATAGTACTTAAAACATAGCTAAATGATGGTTAAATGGAATTTCTTGGAAAACACGAAACCAATTTACATATTAAGCTATTCTAAATGGTTGAGATCATGAATCAGTTGAAGACCACCATGGAAAACCTGGGAGCACTGGACGGCCGTTTCGTCCTATTGTAGGACTCCTCAGTAGTGCGCATCCACGTTTCCGCCTCGCTGGACTCGTTTATTACTATATTATCCGCAAAACCCCTCATGTTATTAAACTATTCATTTAAATATTGATGAATAATCTAATTGTCTTTTAAGTTATTCTATGTGATTAAAATCTCATTAAGTTTTAATTCTCAATATCATTGCCATATGAGATTAAATGTATGAGTGAAATGACAGTATACAGAGGAAATGATATCACAACGGCTTACTTTCATCGTGCATTTTCGGTTCATAATTCAATTTTCTTATATTATGCACCTATAGTAAAGAACATAAAATGAAATAGAATCGCTTAAATTCTCACTTAAATTAAATAAACATGAATATTCTATCGATAGTTATGGTACTTCTATACCTAATATATTTTAACTATTAATGAGTATCATACGTTTGATAACAATAGAGGATTAAGCACTATTGTAGAAAATTTCTATCTTATATCGATTTAACTTTTAAAGATATCATATATTTAGTATTTTTTTCTGTTCATGAAAAATATTGTTCGTATCTTCTGGGATCACCGGGTAAGTAATGGTGAAGCTAGACACTGGGTATTCCGGAATGGTGGTAAATCAGTTGATGTAATTTTAAATCTTCATCGACTGAGATGGTTGAGCCACGTGTTACGTATGTCTGAACATCGATTACTACGTCGTGCAATGCTGAGTAGTGTTGGGGATGTTTAGTAGAAAGTTGGGGGTGGCCAAACCAAAATGTGGTATCAGTTCACAATGTCACTAACTTCTGGTCTGAGCGATGGTGATAGATACAGACCATTTGATTGGGGTCCGCGTGACGATCATAACCAATGGTTGGAGATTCTGAGTGACATGACTCAGAATCGGTCACAGTGGCGTAGGTGTATACACTCTCTATCCTCCGTTGAACCGTGAGATTAAAATTGCTTTATATATTTGATTCTACGAACTAATTCTTTCTTCCTGTACTATATCGTTATATGCAATCTTTATTTTATATATTACCATCATTGAGTTAACTGATTCTATGATTCCGGTGTTGATCTTGTTGTGTTAATGAGGTGTGGCAACTTGGACCAATGCATATATGTGTCTGATCCTACATTGTAGCTGACTGTTTCTTTTTCTGTAAAAGTGTATGATGAAAATATGAGATTACTAACAATTACTTTATATTCATAGTATTCACTTGAAGTTTGATAACGTTTAACTCATTCAATGCTATTGATTACAAATGATTCTAGTAGTAAATTAACGTAATTAGAAAATGTTTTCAAAAAGATTACTGATTGTTCCCGTTATTACACATCTTACTTTTAGCTTATTATTGATGAAATGATGTGGTGAAACATCATTTGATTTTAAACTAATTGAATGATCCAATGGATTATCACGTTTATTAATGGTATTCAATTCATTAAAATGTCTATGTAAATGATGAGATAAGGTTGTTTTATTAATTGTATTCATTATGATTGATTGTTTAGGTGAATAATGTCTAGTTACATTGAGAAAGGTGTTGTTATTATTGTTAGAATTAGAAGAACTATATAATGAAGGAGATTTTGAAACTCTTCGAAATTGTCCATTCTTTAATAACATTTGATTATTGGATTGTTTGATGGAAGGAATCTTTGTTAGTTCTTCATTTTGATTAGAATTAATATCTAGAAATAACAATAAGAATTTGTTAATCAAATTGCTTAAATAAATGAGGTTCATAGATATAATACATCAGTTTATGATACTACATAATAAATTGTAGGTACCCTGTAACAACACTATGGAAACTTCTTCGACACTACGGCGTGCCCCAGAAGATAGTCAATATCATACAGAACTCATATGATGGATTACACTGCAAAATCGTGCATGGAGGACAGTTGACAAAGTCGTTCAAAGTGAAGACCGGTGTTAGGCAAGGTTGCTTAGTCTCACCCTTTCTCTTTCTCCTGGTGATCGACTGGATCATGAAGACGTCAACGTCTGAAGGGAAGCGAGGGATACAATGGACATCTAAGATGCAGTTGGATGATCTAGACTTCGCAGACGATCTGGCCCTTCTATCCCAAACGCAACAACAGATGCAGGAGAAGACAAACAGTGTGGCAGCAGCCTCAGCAGCAATAGGTCTCAACATACACAAAGGGAAAAGCAGGATTCTCCGATACAACACAGCATGCACCAATCCAATCACAATTGACGGAGAAGATTTGGAAGATGTAAAAACCTTTACGTATTTGGGCAGCATCATTGATGAACAGGGTGGATCTGATGCAGATGTGAAGGCGCGGATCGGCAAAGCAAGAGCAGCATATTTACAACTGAGGAACATCTGGAACTCAAAGCAACTGTCAACCAACACCAAGGTCAGGATTTTCAATACAAATGTCAAGACAGTTCTACTGTATGGGGCAGAAACCTGGAGAACTACGAAAGCCATTACCCAGAAAATACAGGTGTTTATTAACAATTGTCTACGCAAAATACTTCAGATCCATTGGCCGGACACTATTAGCAACAACGTACTGTGGGAGAGAACAAACCAGATCCCAGTGGAGGAAGAAATTAGGAAGAAGCGCTGGAAGTGAATAGGACACACATTGAGGAAAGCACCGAACTGCGTCACAAGACAAGCCCTCACATGGAATCCTCAAGGCGAAAAGAAAAGAGGAAGACCAAAGAACACATTACGCCGAGAAATGGAGATAGACATGAGAAAAATGAACAAGAATTGGATGGAACTAGAAAAGAAGGCTCAGGACAGAGTGGGTTGGAGAATGCTGGTCAGCGGCCTATGCTCCATTGGGAGTAACAGGCGGAAGTAAGTAAGTAAGTAACCCTGTAACAAATAGGTTAGTGTTGATAACTTTCAAGCAATATCAAAGTCACAATCTTCAATACGAACGTCAAGATAGTCAGTTCTACTGTACTGTCTCGATCACGTGCGAGATTGATAAGTCCTGGGTTCAAATCTCGCTAGGCGAGATTTTGAATGCGCACTGCTAAGGAGTCCCATCCTAGAACGAAATGGCTGTCCAGTGCTTCCAGGTTTTCCGTGGTGGTCTAACTTCGAGTGACTCATGAATTCAACTATTAAATAAATGATCTAGCATCCAATGATATATATATATATATAACCGTTAATTAACAGCATATTCAATGCTATGAGTTTTTGACTTGATCAGCTCATACAACCTGTTTGTCGTAAAGCATATTTGCTAGATACGGTATTGTAAATCTTTAATATTTTCGCTTGGATGAATGGATTCTAATACATCAACATTTCATTTTACCGGAAGATATACTAAGAGAAAGATGTTAATATAGTGGATGATTAGATAAAGGAAGGTGCATCCACTCTTTGTGTTCTCTCAAATTATAATCTCCTGAATTCTTCATGTCCCTTTCTTTTTTCTCTTTCCAAATTTATTTCACTGGATTATATTCTTTGAATAACATCCTCAAAACCTAATCTTCTTGATCACTGCTTATACTTTTACTACTTTTACCACTATGGGATTTGAATCGACAATTGTATCTCTGTGCTAATGTGATATAACAACTCGAACTGATATACGAACGTACAAAGTTCTACGTTGTGACTGACTGACTAACGGATTATATATATATTGCAATAACAATCAATCATACGATCTAGCTAGAATCAGATCTCAGGCCACTAAAAACTATTTCAAGCCACAACTAATGATACATACTTATAAACTTACAATCATTCAATAACATCCATTTTTGATCTTTATCTTTAATAACAGTATTATTTGAATGATGATTAGTTGGATAATCTTGATCTATATTTGAATAGTTATAAACAGAATCATAATGAAGTTTTCTATGATGATAATTGAATCCAAATGAATTGAACTTTTTATTATTATTATTCATGAAGGTATGTTCAATTGGTGCTGAATGTGTTCTTCTTATATGAATCAATTGATGAATAAGACAATTAGATCCAATATCGATTTTTGGTAAATCTAAATCTTGATTTATTATACCATGATGTATTGGTTTAACGTTTTCTTTTCTTGTATAATTCTTAATTAAAACATAATAATAGTTAGAATGTGAACAAAGAAAAATAAAAGATTTTGTTTTAATTAATGAATGCGGTATGGCAACCTGGACCGATGCACATATGTGCCTGGTCCTATGTTGTAGCTGACTGACTTTAATTAATGATGATAAAAATATAAAATAATCAAAACAGTCGTCCAATGCTACCAGGTTTTCAATGGTGGTGGTCTAACATCAATCGATTCAAGATCTTATTCAATAAGTTAATAATCTCCACAACCCCTATACTGATAATTACCATGTGCTCACTAGTGACTAGCTTTGTGAGTGAATTCTCAAAGTTCTAGTGAAAAGCCTTGACCAGTGGAGCTAATCCGTGTCGGGTAGTGTTATATCTTGTGACCACCAATCGGAGAGCAGTGAATTATCGATCGAACCAATGGTGCGTAAAATACGTGTGAGCAGTCTAGAGTCCTGATTGATCTTGCTTTCCGCCTAGCCTAGCCCAGCCCAGCCAGGTAAGTCCAGAACACCAGTCTCAGCCTCTGCAATATGAATCATTATATTTCAAACATACGGGGTTAATATACCAATCAAACAGATCACAACGTACCAGTAAAATATGAAACAACATTCGTACAAGAATTAGCCAGATGTGGCTGTGAATGAGGGAGGTAGTAATTAGTACACTGGATATAACTCAAGAATGGTAAAACGTATAATAATAGTTTATGGGTCAAATAAAAGCTTATAATAAGAGGAATATGAATATAAATAGTTTAGTTACTTAACAGTTATACAATAAAAATATACGCTTAGTATTGGTCCATCAATAGATCCCAAAAGTTACCATTGATTATTCTTGTCGGGACATAACACACCTCCCCTTTTTTGAAGATCCGGAGTTGATATCCGGATTTTAAATTTTCCGGGTTCATCCTCCCCCACGAAACAGTATCGGATCCTCATATTCCCAAGTTACAATTAATTTGAATTTATTTAAGACATATTTGTCGCACTGAAGAGAGAACCGACTGAAAATGACTAAGTGGTGTGGCTGAACGACGCTTAATATGAGTTAATCGAAATTTGATTCTTCTGAAATATTCTAACCAAATTTATTGGGAACCTCATTTGTAGATAATGGATCATTAAGGTAATCAGAATCTATCAAAATTGTATTAGATTTCTGGTCATTTGATGCATCTGATATTTTTTGGTAAGAGAGGATCTCGATAATTAGATTCGTCAGAAACTTCCGTCGCAGAATGATGAGATCCGTTTGAAGCAGCTGCATTCAGTGTACTGCTCGATTTATTTTCTGTTTCACGGGCGGTTACTGTGACAATTCCATGGACATTTACCAGGGAATCTTTTTCTACGCTGGTTATGTCACTGTCTGTACATGCTGTTTGGGGGATAAGGGAGTTTGAATTCATTACTGGTTATGTTTCTGAATTGGAGAGTACTGGACCACTGGGCGAATCTTGAATGACTGCTGTTTCGTTTTAAGTACGGTTTATCGAGGATTCATGGAGGCTGCAATCATTTTCCAGCTTAGTGTGGAATTGAGGAAATAACCCATCCACTTCCGTCGCATCTCCAAAGCATTAGTGATTCAGAAGCTGCGTGCGCAATTTAACCAAGAACTCCAGCTGTCGATCAAATAACAGCTGTAATCGATCGGAAGGGAGAGTCATTTTTTTGAATCAGCACTGGTAATGGAAATTACTGTATGACTAATGACCAATGTCGTTCAAGGAAACCGATGACAAATCTGGATGCTGATTGCTCGAAATAATTAGACTGAATCTCGTTCAATTACAAACTGACTTTGGATCGTATTTTTTTACCCCGTCTCCAATTGTTATTGCCTAAAGCCGACGATCAAAAGCAGCGAATTATCGATCGGAACAATGACGCGTAAAACACGTGTGAGCAGCCTAGAGTCCTGATTGGTCCTGCTTTCCGCCTAGCCTAGCTCAGTCAGTTAAGTGCAGAACATCAGAATTATCGATCGAGCCAAGGACGCGTAAACAGGTAGAGACAGGTATCTATCTCAGTACAATGTAAGATGGTCACGCGATTTCGTGGATTGTTTGGGTTTGGACATAAACACCGTTGAATGCCGGCTTAGTGTTCTAGTAGGATAAGCGTTCGCACGCGAGACTGAAGGCCCTAAGTTCGAATCCCGCGGGGACTTTATACTGTAGCTGCATTAAAACAAAACATGTCGATACTCAAACATGAAAATTATGATCGATACGTATTAGTGAAGTGGTTATATATCTGATTTCACTCTAGTAAGAGACAGCCAACCCTTAATGGCACTTTCATAAAAGTGTTTTGCTCAGAAAATCAAAGGAAGCTAACACATAATAGGAAACAGAACTGTTAACATAGACTATGCTTGATGTCCTGAAGTAAATAATAGTTGTATACTTTCTAACATATATCTAGTAAGCAATGAGACATAGGCAATTATCAATTTGCTTCTCAGTTACTTCAGTAAGAAACAGCGTTGGTAGTCTAGAAATAATGATCATTGAAATGCTTTAACTGACACTAGAATCACTTCTGCTTAACACTCATTTTTATCCACATAACCTTTTACTAGCAAGAATTCTAAGATATTAACAAGATTTTCTAGCTATTTCATCAGTGTTTATGTTTCCAAATTGAAGAAGAGTTTTGTTAGCTTTCTTATTGTCTTCCTCAATCAATCACTTTTAGCTTTCCGATGTTAATTTTTGAATCAACTTGAATAACAAATCGCACTAGCTAGGTATCTGGAATTTGACAGTAAAAAAATGTACTTTTTCGTTTCTAAGACAAGTGTACAAAACACGTAACTGTAACGATTAGACATAGTCTTGACTATAATATAAGTCGTATAATTTTTTATGCTTCTATCACTTTGGATGTTACTACCATTGAATGAAATCATTAAATGTAAGACTTTGAAAACTAAGTCTTTGAAATAAGTCAAAATAACAAATGCTCTAGTGAACTCACTTTATTCTGACTGCCAACATGATCTTCTTGTAATGTTCCCTGAGATAGTGTTGAATTTTGATTAGAACTCTGTTTATTGAATGGTTTTAGACAAACCATATCTATAAGTTATATACGGTAGTCAAAATATTCAATTGATACTTATTTAATTAAATGTCAAACTAAAGAAAACAGTTTTTTCTACATTTTTCTATCAGTCCTCAACAGACATTAGTAGTACAGTAACAATGTGCTGCTATGCTTATCCAGACAAAGTATTGATCGTGTAATTAATATAAATAAAGCGCAATGACAACTGATGGTCTTTTATCAACGACTGAAGAAACATTGAGATATGGTACATGGTTAAGATCCTAGTCTACTCCATGTTACTTCATTTAATATATTTTGAGTCCAATTTTGTGTGTTAAGTCCTGTGGTATTATGTGGATGAACAAATCGAATCAGGTGAAAAACAGTTTAAAAATGGCAGCCAAGTAACTGAAAGTCGGGTGTTTTTTTTTTGAAATCATGTTATCTATTCGCAAAATGTCAAAATAAGCATGTCAGAAGTTGTGATGTAAGAAAAATAGAAGTTACAAAGAGACTATCTCATCGAGTATGTACGGGAATACTTCCAAGAAAGCGATTTTCAAAAAACTACGTATGACTAAATAAAACAAGATCAATCTATATTTAGATCCTTTACTTAGTGAAGACAGATTGAAGTAACCATTAGTGAAAGCCGTTACTAATTCCCAAACCACATAAATATGCCAAACTTAAAGGTATGTCTCATATGGATTACTACTTAAAATCCGTTAAATCATGTACGTTTTAAAAAAATACGCTTAAATTTTGCTATTCTATACATTTAAGATAGTGGCATGTTACTAATTCACCAAACATGATGAATGTATGTAGGTTTTTTCGTTGCGATGGCAACAAATAGTTTTAAAAACAAAAGTATACTTATTATGACACTACCTGGTTCTCTATGATTATCGAAGGCTGAATTAGAATTTTTGTAATTTCTTTTGAAAGAAATAATTCCATCAGAGACGTAACCATTTTGTTGATTTCTTGAAAATATTCGATAATAATTATGTTCTTTCTAGTAAAAGATCACAAGTATCATGGAAAAAACATCATTATTTTATGTACTTAGTATTTTGCGTATTGATCTAATTAAAATTTGAGTAGTTGAATTCATGAATCGATGTAAGCTAGATCACTATGAAAAACCCTGGAAACATTGGACGGCTCTAAGATGATTCCCTTGAGTTCTAGCGAGAAGCCATGGCTAGTGGAGTCCAATCCATGTCGGTTAGAGATAGGTATCTACTTCAGACAATGGATGAAGTGTTGCACAAGATGATGGATTGATGGAAGTTAGACATTAAAAACGTTGGATACCGACTCAGTGGTTTAAAGGTTAAGCGTTTGCGTGTGAGACCAAAGGTCCTGGGTTCGAATCTTGCGAACGGGATCGTGGATGCTGTGGAGTCGTATGCTAAGGTGAAATGGCCATTCTATCCTCCTAGGTTTTCCATGCTAGTCTAGTTTACATCAACTTGTGAATTAAACTATTAAAATTACTATAGTTTCCAAAAAAAACCCATTCTGATTATAATTACAATTCTTGAACACATTCGTACAATTTCAATATATATTCCATAGGAAGTTTACTTCATATACATTTGAAAATGACATGGGATTCTTAGCGTTGGGCTTTTTTATTCGTGTAGGCATTGAATAACTATTTAAGTGATTCCTCTATGAGAATCAATACATTCTAGACTGAAAGTTAGCATGAAAATCTATTATTTATCTAAGAAAAAATATTAAAGGCCACAAAGCTCACAATAAGCAATTTAAAGTGAATGACAAAATTGTGTGATAAATAATGAAAGTGATCATATCTATTGAGTATCCAATATACCGTTAAATAATTAAATAATAGTAAAGTTTTCCGTAAGAATGATTCAACTCTCAAATGCACTGGTACGGCCGAGAGTAGGAAGAGGCATCTTCCCCTCTCTAAATGCTCTCGTATAGCCACATGCATACAACCACTGCTAGGGAAGTCCTACTCACTACCTTCTCGTGGCGAAGGTGTTGTTTACGAAATTGATAAGATGAAAAGCGAATTTCCGGTGCTTTAACCGGGTTGGTGAACACGGAGAGTCCACCTAGTGGGGTCCAAACCAATAGTTCACATGGGCTCCAATATCTTGAAGGAACAAATGGTGTATGTACTAATCGTTGGTCTCCGGCTAACATGGGATTGCATCTTCTGAAGTTATTTCACTTCCTTGTGGATCAGACATTTAGAACAAAGGCTCCGGGTGTCCTCCCCCCAGGAAAACCACCTGCTTCGGTTTGGATACCCTGGTTTTATCCCATCCATCACATAAATTGAATGATTTATGTAGTACAAATCTATTTGGTGCCCCCTTGTGCTAATGTTTATGTGTTTAAATAAATAAATAAAATAAGGATGATGCAAGCTTTTCATACAAATATATGTAAATCTCCTTCCAAGAAACTGTTTAATCAATCACTTTATTAGAGAAGATCTATCCAAATTACAAAAGCTATTAGATCTGAATAATGAATTAAAACAAGTATAATTTCTAAAATAGGGTAACAAGAACCAATTGGAGTAGATAGCTTAAATAAAAACAAGAGATTGGTTTGTACCTTTAATAACCTTTTATTACTTAAAGGTGTATGTTAAATATGATCATTAGTTTGATTGATAGATCTGCATATACATTTATCTTCATTTGAACTATTTTAGCATATCATATCAGTAGCTTAAACGCAAATCTTTTAGTGTATTCTACTATAATGTAACAAGATTTAAAGTGTGTAACATACAAAGAATAACCACTTTTTTCAATTCATTCTAAATAATTATTTGTTGAGATCACAAACCATTCTAAGTTAGACAACCACTGAACATCTGGAAGTACCCCATAACTTTTATCTTAGTGTGGGACTCCATAGCAGTGTGAATTCACGATCCTGCGGTGTGGTGATAGTGAATGTATATTTGTGTGCCATTGAACCCTGGTCCAGTGGTTTAAAGATTGAGCATTTATGAATGGCACTTAAATGCATGTGTTAGATTACTCCATGATTGAGTTGTAGGTGGGCACTGATAGGGAGTCCCATAATCAGATGAAATATCTGTAGATCACTTCCAAGTATTTAATAGTTATCTAACCTAGATTGGTTCATCATATCTAATAAAAGGAAACAGTTTCAACAGTCTCGTAGTAAAAATGTTATTTTGATTACGACTACATTACAAATGTAAATTGATGTGAAAAGAACAGTATTAACATGAAATTCTCAAAATTCTATCTTACTTGAAATGATTTTTTAGATTCTAAATTGTTCTGTATTTGTTTTCCTGATTTAGATGACTCTTCAGTTAGATTCAAATCTCTACAACATGCCTAAAATGCCAAAACAAAATAAAGAAAAATCATTTTTTAAGGATTTCAGTAGATATGAATGCTTTAACTTAATGTCGAAATAGCAGAATTCCTTTAAAACAATCAATCATATACAACATTGAAACTATATTTCAAACTGAAAACTCCATTGTGATTAGACACACAATATCAATCTAAGTTACTAAATTACTTAATTTTGATGGTTAAATTATTATTATTATTGATACTAATGGTAATAGTTGTAGTAGTAGTCGTAGTGATAGTAGTAGTAATAGTTGTAGTAGTAGCAGTAACGGTAGTAGTCGTGGTAGTAGTAGCAGTGATAGTAGTAGTAATAGTTGTAGTAGTAGCAGTAGTATTAATAGTATTATGAAGTACAGAATTCCCCAATACACTAGATTTAAAAACATTTTTAACTATTAAAAAACGAAGTAAGAGCATTGATGATATTGGTTAGAAGCTATGCATATTTGAAGGGAAGAACAATTTGTTACAGTAAACATCAAAGCTAGAGAATAGTAATCTTAACATAAGTGAGACTATAATTTATGGATGACCTTTGAGTAACGTTAAATAGACCTTGGGATGTTCAATTATTTGCTAGATTTAAATGAAGGTTTAATATTAGTTTGAGGAATTAGGATTAGAAATTAGATCTAGGGTTTTCATCACGAAATGACATCAGCTATAATGCCAAAATGGTACTTGGACAAATGAATGAATGAATGAGTTCCGCAATTGATTGATCACTGGATGGTGATCAATGTCATACGTGTCTAGTTCTTATTAGTGCAGATCGAATGCTGTCGAACATGTTGCAATGCGGGCACCAGTCTAGGTGACTCGACACTGCGAATCCGCCAGGGAGCACCAGTTCTCTCAAGATTACAGGTACACCTTGCTGACGAGTGCCAAGTAGCACGAAACCCGGGTACAGGGTTTCCTGTCGACTGCATCCAAGATCTGCTGTCTTAAATCTGATTGGTTCATCCATAAATTATAGTCTCGTTGAATTTAGTTAAAATAAATGTGTTTTGAACAAAAGCAATAGTTGGCTAAATTCAAAAAAAGCAAACAATAAAATAAGTAGAATAAAATCACCGTATTAAAGATAAGTATCACTAGTGACTGGCTTCAAAGTGTATATCCTGGAGTTCTAGTGCGAAGTAGTAGTCAGTGGAGTTCAATCGAGTCTGTTGTGAAATAGTAACTCACTAATGACATTCGTGGATGTTTCGCTCAATTTCGTGGATTAGTTGAAGTTAGACATTAGCACTGTTGGATACCAATTAGTTGAGTGGTCTAGGGGTTAAGCGCTCGCGCGCGAGAATGATAGGTCCTGAGTTCGAATCTCGCGATGTGTGATCGTGTGTGCGCACTGCTGAGGAGTCCCACAATATTTAGAGTGATAATAAATGATTGAGAACGATGTTACATATATTCTAATTTCGCTTCATATTTTATTGAAATTAAGAATCAATCCAAGTTAAGTAATCATTGCAAACCTGGAAAGACTAGACGGCCGTTTCATCCTAGTAAAAGAATTTTCAGCAGTAAGCATTCACGATCTCTCAACCGAAAGTCAAAGCCAAAACTTTCTTCCTTGAGAAAACACTTATCTTTTGGACTACTAAGCCGAGAGCCAATCATGTTCAGGACTAAATTCAATCAAACCACAATATTGCTCTGCCAACATTCATGGTCTTTAAAAATCTACTCTCTAAGACTGACACTGGTGGAGATACGATATTTGTGAACACGAGTTGGTGGAGATTGTTGAATTTTATTGAAATATATTTATCATTATATCCATGTTGCATATTCATGAAACCTAACTGAAATTCATTCCCTGTTTTTGAGTTAAAAGTAAAATCACCCTAAACAAATAATTAGTGTTATCCAACGTTTGCCTCATTCTGTCAGACATTCTACGTCATATTCATCTTATTTATCACAGCTTAAAAAAACAGACCCATTTCGTAAAACGACAGGAATTTATGGAGATTTTCAACTTCATAGTTCAAATCGTAGAATGATATTAGTTAAATAATTATCGAAGACTAGGGAGCGGAATTCAGCAGTTTTGTTTTAGCATGTGCTCCTCAGCAGTGCGCATCTTCAACTGTACCTCAGGGGTTAAACCCAAGACATTCGGTCTCACACGCAAATGCCTGAGCTCTACACCACAGTGACGGCATCTAGTGCTTCACATACTTGATTCCAATCGCTTTTTAATGTCAAATAAACTTTATCCGATTTAGTTGGAGAGTAGCTGCCTCATATTCGACATGGTTGAACTCCACTGGTCACGGGTTCTCATTATTATCCACTGATTATCTCTGAAATACTCTTATTGTATTTTATACATGAAATTTGGAATTAATTTAGTACAATCCGGAAGGTTTCGGGTCAATAAATTCATATTACTGACAAAAGCAGTAGAGAATTATTTATGTCTTTGTCGATTGCTGAATTAAACCCTTTAGTTATAATAGAAAACCATGCAAATTAATAGATCAAAGTGGTGGCTTTCGATTTTTATGAGCATCATTTTATATAATCCCCTAAAACTGTTGAAAAACTTCAGATCTATTTCGTCATAACTGGAATCTTTGCTTAAAATGATGGAAAATTCCTAAATGCTAGATACCACATGTTATTTTTCTTTGGTGTCAATGATTTGAATAATTTGGAAAATATAATTCTGAGATTTCCATTGTTATTCAGGGTTAAACTTACGTCTCTGACCTTAAGAGATTTGTTTGTTTGTAAAGTTGCATTTAGGTGTAACCATTTATTCCTGTTTTGGTGATTATTCAGAAAATATCTATCTTTGTAAACGAACTACTGAAATATTGTTTAAGTACTATCTCCATTAAAACAAATAATAAACACATTCTTTAGTGAAATGACATTTAGTATATGCTGTTACCATTCAAAATATTTCTTACACTTCTAGGAAGTCTATGGTAAGTTTCAACGAAAAAAACGCATCTACATATAACTGAAACATTACGGAATGGATAAGAGGAGACAAAACTATATTATTCTGATTCAAACAAAAGGTTAATCAAACAGTGTATGTGAAAATTTGTTGAGATTTGCATTAGCTATAGATTTTATACAATTTCACAAAAATGTTACATATCGGATTAGTTATAAAATTCTCACCGAATTACACACAGAAAAATCATGTGCATGTCACTAGAAGTCTCAGTTTAAACTAACTATCTACAACTTACATAAGTACCACATACAGGACAAACTTTCTCACGAAGTAGAGTGGTATAACGATGAATAAAAGGCTGGGCAAAGTTTGAAAACAAAAATGTTAATAAACTGGCTACGCACATCAAATGATGAAGTATATGGAAAGTATACTGTTTTTACATAAAGATAGTAACCAAGTTGATGGTATGTAGTTCAAAGTTGTGATTAAATGGCGAGACTATAATTTATGTACGTGACAGTCAGAAGCGTCCGAGGGATTTTAAGGTCATGGCTCCAATTTCAGTACCTGATACTCACATACGATCGGATCACAGAGGATTTTAGAGAGCGGCTACAGCAAATGTGACTATTAAAAATTTCCTTTATTTGTGATTGTGGTAATCAAACGACTTATGGACCTTGTTCAGACTAAAGTGATGATGTTGTCTTTCGATGTAATGTACGCTGGAGGAAAACGTTTACCAGAATACGGACTTTTATTTCTCGATCCAGATCGAGACAAAAGCAAATTGTAATAATTGTTACGAACTGCATAACAAAAGCACCAGTAACATTGACTGCAACTTTTGCAGATTTTACTGAAGCTGGTGCTCGCGCGCGAAACCAGTAGGTCCTGGCTTCGAATCTCGCAGAAGGTGAGATCGTGGATGCGCACTGCTGAGGAGTCCCACAATAGGACGAAATGTCCATCCAGAGCTCCCAGGTTTTCCATGGTGGACTAGCTTCAACTGACTCATGATCTTAACCATCGAAATTAAAAGAAATTCTTCATTGTAAAATAATAATATTAAGCGAACAAATTGAAAGGAGATAATAATGAATAGATCTTTATTTCCACTGTGTTACTGTTCAGTAACGTTCGCTTTCATTATATATATATATATATAATATTGAAACTTACAATACAGTGATTAGTTGCTACGTCCTTCTTAGGTTGTGTTTCCTGAAATAAAAGTACATTCATCATTAATAACCACATAAATACGATGATCATGTATCAGTTGCTTGGCATTTTTATTAAAAATCAAGCAAGAGTAGAACATAGGGACGAATTAGAAAAAAATCCACGATAGTTATTAACAAATCATAAGTCAAATTCTACACAATTATTGAATCTATTAACGTCTTCTGTAGGTTATTTAGCGTGTAAATTAAAATGACAACATATAAATATAGTTTATCTGTCTTCTGTAACACGCATGAAGATCCAAATAGATTTTCAAAAGGTCTCCATAATTTTCTTGATTTTAGTTGGGTATTTTGGTATAGGCATAGGGTTCAGCTACAACACAGCATGCAACAATCGAATCATACATGATGGAGAAGATTTGGAAGATGAAAAACCTTTACATATCAGGGCAGAATCATTGATGAACACGGTGAATCTGGTGCAGATGTGGATGCACGGATCGGTTAAGCAAGAGCAGCACGTCTAAAATTGAAGAACATCTGGAACTCAAAACAACTGTCAACCAACATCAAAGTCATAGTTTTCAATACAAATGTCAACACAGTCCTATCGTATGTGGCGGAAAGCTGGAGAACTACGAAAACCATCATCGAGAAGATAGAACTGTTAAATAACAGTTGTCTACACAGAATACTTCGGATCCCTTGGCTAGGCACCATCAACAAAATCCTACCATGGGAGAGAACAAACCAGATCCCAAGGGAGGAAGAAATCGGGAAGAAGCGCTAGAAGTGGATAGGACACACAATGAGGAAAGCATTGAGCTGCGTCACAAGGCAAGCCTGCACATGGAATCCTCAAGGTGAAAGGAGAAGAGGAAGACCAAAGAACACACTACGTCGAGAAATGGAGACAGACATGGGAGGAATGAACAACAATTGGATAGAACTGGAAAGAAAGGCCGAGGACAGAGTGAGTTGGAGAATTCTGGTCGGTGGCCTATGTTCCACTGGGAGTAACAGGCGTAAGTAAATACGTTATAGGGTTCAGCGTTGCAGTATTGATCAAGAGAGTAACATAAGTTATAATGCGAAGTGTTCTGTAGCCATAGGAATGAATAAATTATGTGATTAGTCCTTCCATCAAATATAATGCCACTAGGTTGAGGTCGCTTTCACGGTTATGTTATAATACGAAACCTTTAAAGGAAAGTTTCGGGTAGTCTTTTGTATACAATCTACAGGAAGTGAACTGAACATTTTACTCCAAGATACTAAAAATGTATTTTTCGATTTCATTTCATAAACATCCTAAGTACTACACACAGGTATCTCTAATGATCATTATACGTAGTACTTGAATTTCAAGCAAAATCTGAAGGTCATATTTGCAATCTTTATTAGCTCATTTCTACACTATGTTGTTACCGTAGCCTTCGAAGAATTTCGATCATCTTTCTAATTTGAGCAGTTTATCAAATATTTGACCAAATGAGGAACAAGGTTACTTGATCTAGGACTTTATTTAATATCATATATGAAAATTGATGGCCGTTTATTGCTGTTTTGTTTTAAATCACAGATATTCAATATTGTGAAAATAAGACCAACACAAATGCTTCATCCTTAACTGCAAGTAACTGCAAGTTCGAGATGTAATGAGCTTTGCCAACAGGAAATAGGTGAGTAAAAGTCAGAAACATAATGATGAAATAAACTGATTGATATTCATATTCCCTGAAAACGTAAATGAAAATATGGGAAAAGACGTTGGAAGTGGATAGGTCACACATTGAGAAAATCATCAAACTGCATCAAGAAGCAAACGCTAATTTGGAATCCTGAAGGGAAATGAAATAATAAAAGGCTAAAGAACACACCGAACGTAGAATTGGAAGCATACATGTATAGGATAAATAGCAATTAGAAAGGATTGTCTCGGACAGAGTTGGATAGAGAATGCTGGTGAGCGGCCTATACTCCTCCATGAGAGATAACAGGCGTAAGTAAGAAACGTAAATGAACATAAAGACATTCAGTATAATGAAAAGGTTTAGTTTATTCAACTATCAGATAACTGAATAATTGTAATAGCTCTGCGACCAGTAAGAGGCAACTCAAAAATGCATTTGTTTTTTATAAACTTGGGAAATTTTCACAAATTGCATCATGGACTGATCTTACTCATATAACTACTGAACATCAAAAAGAACTGGATAAGTATTCACCCCAGTATAATGAAAAACATTTACTTTGTCAAACACTGAGGTAAACAACTTAAGATAAAAAAATGTAGAAGTATTTGATCTGATTACTTTTTTATTGACCGATTTTATATCACGTTTCTGTGTCATCCTTCGTTTACGTTTACCTTTTTTCTTTGACTGTAAAGGAAGAAATGAATTGAAGAATAAACATATGAATAGTGTACTGTTCATAGTATTTTCAAAATACTATTTAAGTATATACTAGTCATTTGAATCTATATAAAAAGGATACAAATTAAGCCTACAATCAGTATACTATTTCTTAGCTAATGGGAAATAAGAAGAAATGGCCATCCAGTACTTCCAGATTATCCATGGTGATCTAATTTCAATTGACTAATGATCTCGATCTCAACTATTGGAATTAATATAATCTTGACAAAACCCCTTCTGAAAATAATCCACAATTTAATCACATCAGAATCAGACTAAATTGAAAAAATTCTATGTAATGAATTTAATGTAAGTGAACAGTTTCGTACTTCCATAACTAGTTATTAAATGGTGGTTGGAGGTAGTCAACAGGAAACCCTGGACTCGGGTTTCGTGCTACTTGGCACTCGTCAGCAAGGTGTACCTGTAATCTTGAGGGAACTGGTGCTCCCTGGCGGATTCGATCTCATGTCACCCAGCTTCACAGTCAGAGAGGTCACCACTGAGCTATCCGAGCCGCGACTGACCTCCTGTAGGACTGAGATGTAATCACAATTGATTGACCACGAAACCCGGGTCTAGGGTTTCCTGTTGACTACCTCCAACCACCATCTAATCTCAACATATAGTGCCCGCAGTGTCGAGTCACCTAGACTGGTGGCCACATTGCAACATGATCGATAGCATTCGATCTGCACTAATAAGGGGTAGACAAGCATGACATTGATCACCACCCAGTGATCGATCAATTGTAATTCCATAACTAGTTGTTTTACAATTATATATTCTGGACTTGATGTTTACTGATTTGTATTGTAGTGAACTATTACACAAGTGGGGATAATCGAGTGTATTTGAACACAAAATTAAAGAATCTCTTCTTAAAGTCTGAGTACCATACAGGAAATACTTTATTTCCAAAATGTTACTCAATCATCTCAAACTTCATTGTTCTTTCATTTCTATAGCAACCACTCTCTGTTCTCGTTCTCTTTCCTCCAATCTTCTTAAACCTTCTGCTTCCAGACATTTCACTTTCGATGGATAAAACATACTACTTATAACTGTGGACATCAGTAGAACACACATTAAAATATTATGGAATTGTTTCTCCTAGATTCAATACAATACAATTTGACAAAATCTAAAAACAAAAAACATCACAACTAAGAAATTAGTATTCTGATCTGAGAGTTGAACTGTGTAAACAAATACCCTTCTCTATAAGTATTAATTAAGTATAATTAATTAATAATTATGTTAGCCAATACAATAGCTCCATTTTCGAAAATTGGATCTAATGATCATTGATGATCTGAAGAAGTTCCAAGCTCAGATCCTTAAGCAGAATGTCCGATTCAATTATCATAAAGTAATATACACTTCTTAAACATTTCAAATTACATTACTTATGATAATGACAGATTGATATAAATATCAATGATGCGAAATCTTGTACAGAATTAATCATTTGATACTGTACTTACCTTTTGTAAAACATATGCATAATATGCAGGTAACTCATCACAATTCGAACTATCTGATCCAACATCACTATATAAAAAATGAAGTATAAAAATGAATGAATGGATCTGAAGTAGATTTAACATTCTATCAGTGTGTAAAATAAAAATCGCTTGTCACATAAACAGTAGACATCAGTGACTTTCAGTGATTATGAATGTAAAGATTAAATCCACTGTTTATCACAAAAGATTCTTTATAAATCAATCTTTCCCAACATTTTATCGATGGAATCGATGGAGACTAACACTCTGAGAATGGTGTATTTTGGTTGATTAGTCAATTATGTAAGTCTATTTTATTATTCTTAGGTAATATTGTTCACAGATTCTATTTAAGAAACTACAATTAAGTTGTTGGGGACGTTAGATCCCCAGAACTCACTTGGGAAAGGACCTAATTTTGTAATTTTATTTAGAAAATTTGAATTTCTTTATTTTCGCACCAAAGGCGCTCTTGTAACCTTCATGTCGTATCTCCCACTGGGAAACATCTTAAATGCTATTGGTCCGTTGTGTCTTTTAGTATGCTATTTGGTAACTCTCCCTAAGGACGGTTTTGCACTGTATATATAAGTTTTGAAATGTGTTTGTTGTTATCGCCCGTTTCTGGCTGTTTTGCAGAATATACTTCCCATTCCAAGCTTGGACTTCTCCCTCTAGTTAGCGGGGCTGCGACGCATCGTATAGCTAGCTTACTGGTCTTTGGTCACCGAGTCTTGTTCTCGTTCGCAGATTAAGTGAACTCGTGATAGCTTCAACCCTAGCATAAGTATAACTCTCACTTGCTTACTTAGATCTATAATTCACAGAAATTTATTAATAGGAATATTCTACGTTTACTTAACGTTATTTTATGTAAGATGAACTAATTTTTTTAGTTCGCTATTCTAGTTTTTGATGCATAATGCGGATTGTGAACAACAAGATATTATATTCAGAGAGGGCTTTTGTGGATATTATAGTGATTTTAATAATTGAATTCATGATTCAATTGAATCTAGATCATCATGAAAAACCTGAAAGCACTGAACGACCGTTTCGTCCCACTATGGGACTCCTCAGCAGTGTGCGTCCACGATTCAGCCACGCGAGATTCGAACTCAGGACCTTTCAGTTGGATGCCGGCTTAGTGGTTTAGAGAATAAACCCTTGCACGCGAGACTGATAGGTCCTAGGTTCGGATCTCGTGAGGTGGGATCGTGGATGAGCACTGTTGATGATTCGTATACCTAGATGAAAACATCGTCCAGTGCTTCTAGGTTTCCCATGGTAGTCTAGCTTCAATTAACTCATGAATTCAACTATGAAAAAGAAATTTTATGTAATAAAATAGAATTCCTTCACTTCATTGAGTTTTCTTTAAGGAATATGACTGTTGCATTCGAAATGATCAATTTTCACATTTTGATAATTCATTCCTTCGTATTTGAATTTGAGTAACGAAAAATGTGAAGTTAAATAATCATTAAGAAATCAAATTATTTGAACAAAGGAATTAAAAGTTGTAAGCTTGATAATAACAATTAGTAACTAGTATGATCCAATATCTTGTCAGATCATTCATTCAGACAACAACCATTAAAAATACCTGTCACCTACCATAACTTAAGAATCATCTGTTACATTCTTTATAAACAGTGGTTACCATCAAATAGATACTTTCAAATAAATATGTACTATACTTACACTTCATCTTGTTGTAAGTTACCGAGTGTAATATTTCATACTTTAGAAGATGATCAATCAGTTTCTTAGATTATGTAACTTAGTAGGAATATACATCATGAGTTTAGAAAGGTACTTACAAAAAGTATATTAACTAACCTACTGTCACTCATTGAATCATCTGATGAAAGTTTATCATCTTCAAATTCATTTGATTTAGATACTTTCATAGAAAGAAGACGATTTTTCAAATATTCCATAATATGCTCCATCTAAAATAAATTTCCAAATGTTTGTTCATAGGTAAATTCCCCCCCCAAAAAATAATATTAATCTCCTTTGTCAAATAATACAGCATTACAATGGATATGTTTAAGTCATACAAACAATTAACCGAATTTTATATTCATGTTAAAGAAACACTCTCATACATTTGATAAATATTTAATTATTATGATCATTATCATCTGCTCAATAGTGACTGACTTCAAGAGATACTTCTGGAGTTCTAGAGAGAAGCCGTTACCAGTGGAGTTCAAACAGGTCTGTTGTGAGATAGTAACTCAATCATGACAATGGTGTACGGTGGCGCAACTTCGTGGATTGGTTGAAGTTAGACATTAACACCGTTGGATGCCGGCCGGCTCAGTGGTCTAGTTGGTTAAGCTCCTGGGACGAGACTGATAGCTCCTGGGTTCGAATCTCTTGAGGTGCGGGATCGTGGATGCGCACTGCTGAGGAGTCCCATACTAGGACGAAACGGCCGTCCAGTGCTTCCAGGTTTTTCATGGTGGTCTAGCTTCCATTGACTCATGATTTCAATCAGTGGAATATTTGATCAATAAACATTTGTATTGAAGATCTAAATCTTGATCAAAAATGCATCATTATCTTTTCTCTTATTCATAAAACATCTTAGTGATAATGGTACGTGAGACTGAAGGCCCTGGGTTCGAATCTCGTGAGTGTGATCGTGGATGCGCATTGATAAGGAGTCCCATACTAGGACGAAGCGGCCGTTCAGGGCTTCCAGGTTTTCAGTAGTGGTCTAACATCAATCAGTTCATGGTCTCAATAAAAAAGAATTAACTTGGATCTATTACATTTTAGTTGCTACATGTCAATAAAACGTTTTATTCTTTATTTTTTAACCACTTCTTAAATAATAAGATATACATATTGATAATGTAATGAATTTCATTTTTAAATGATTATCACTTTTAGAAAATAAAAAAATAACAATAGAGGACTGTAATTGATCAGTCTCTTGTTGGCATATATGCATACTGTGCCTATTGTCTTGATATTGTCTTAATTCACAAGCATTCTAAGCAAAGATGATAGTGGCGAGCAGTTAAACACAGGATGCGCGTTTCGTTCTATTTGCGATTCTTCAGTTGCATTTACCTGCATTTCAAAGTTGATATCCACTCAGGACTCAGTAGCTAAGTAGATAACTCGATGGTGTTTGAAGCGGAAAGTACAGGGTTCAAGTCTCAGAGTGAACATCAACTCTGAGATGCTAGTACATTCAGCTGACAAGTCCCAAATATGATGAAATGTGTGTTCTGGATTCCACTGCTAGCCACTATTCATCTTTGCTTATATAATCAAGAATACTTGATTATTAAGTACAGTGTAATGTGATGGTTAGATACAAAGAAAAACTGAGATGTTCATCATTCTGAATATCATAATTGTCTTTGTATAATTCTGTTCAGTATTCGAATCATATTCGATCTATTTTATGTATCAAATAACATTACCTACATAGAATATATCGTTTTTTTATAATCACATTTTTCAGTTATGATATAAATCGTATCATCTAAATCTAGCCAGTCAGCATATTTAACAAATAAACTGATTTAAAATTATCATTTACTTGTTTGATTACATATAAAGTGTTAGTTGTTGTCATGGTGACACAACACGTTAGTGTTTATATGAGAGTGAAACTATAACAAACCATATATACATTGAGTAAACTAGTAGAATAGATTTAAATATGTTTACTCTTATTTAGTTAAAAAGAGAAAGTTGGTTTTATTTAATTATTCTTCTTGGATTAAGTCAATACAAACGGAATTAATACAATTAAGTTTCAACAGTTGAAATCATGTGTCAATTGAAACTAGACCACCATGGATAATTTGAAAGCATTGGACGGCCGTTTAGTACTAGTATGGGACTCCTCAGCAGTGCCCATCCACGATCCCGCCCCCCCCCACCGCAATTAAATTTGACTCAGTAATATATCTATTAAAAATTAAATCTAACTTTCATAATTCATGAAGATAATGATTGTTGATGATAGGTACAATAAGCAAGCATTTAGGATATAAATGGAACCTTATTTAAAACTATACGTCGCTAAGAGGTGGGGGAATAATTCTTTTGATTGCATATATTATAAGTTGATTTAGCCAGTATTCTTATAAACTGGTAGAATCTAGCAATTAAAGATGTATTTACAACACCATTAGCGCTTACTTCATGTGGAAGTAAAGGCATCTAATTAAAATTCAGATTTTCTTCATTATTGTAGCATAAAATTCATTCATTTTGCTTCATCTACATACTTCACATATGCTTTAGTTTCGATAACTTTGTTTTATGATAATTATTCAGTTTTATAGTTGTTATTCTTCACAAGTCAACTGCATTTGAGGTATGATTGAAAGTAGAATGTACTGAATGATTGATTTGTTCTGAAGCAAGACTCTTCCGAAGTGCCCACCGACGACTCAATTATGGATCAAATCTTAGACATTTAGGTAGCAGAGCGATTGGTTGATCATAAAACTACTAGGTTAGTAGACAGTGGTAAAGATTTCTGGATTCAATAATTTGCTATATAGCGTGGCTCTTGTCAGTACGCTGTATACCGCTACTCAATGATGAAGTGTTCCATGCTAGATTAAAGTAACTCTTCAGAACCTTTAGTATCCCGACGTACTTCAAATGGACTTATTTTGTGATAAATACCAATTATGACATGACTTAACAGATATTTGGCCGTTCAATTGCCATTAAAGTCAATTAGCCTAAAAACTTAAAAAATAATACGTTTAAAGGTAACAAAACTGTCATAAAGCTTAAAACTTCTAATCTGAACGAGAGTTTGGATATTTAATGATTTACATACTAGGACAACAAGAGTTCAGTGCTCACTGGCTTTCAGGGTTTAGCTAGTTAAAGTTAGTTTGTGAATTAAACTCTCTTGGACGGCAAAACGCACAGTATCTTAAACTTTATTAAAAAACCGATCGGTGTTTAATAGGACATTGATTTGTAGATTTCCATGAAACTTCGATCCAAGTAATTCAAACTATGTGAAGCCAGAGACGGAAATCCATGAGGTAAGGTGATGTGTGACATATTTAGGGTCGACGTTTTCTAACGCTTTCCTTTCTTGTGAGAAGGCAACATCGCTGCAGATGCTGGTTGTCTGAGGGAAACACCTTACTACTGTCACACCCCTCTACAGTCAATAGTACGATTTCGCCCTCAAACCTTCAGTTGTTGCTTTTGGTCCTACCGCTCACCAGTAGACCTGCCGAGCACGGTAGAACTTACAGGAACATATATCCCGGCCAGTATAGCTTAGTTGGGTCCTCACGATAGGCAAGACCGACCACCACGTCAAGGTAGCAGCTACGGTCGTGCAGACAAATGATAAAGCAAATTATTTATCACAATGTCTCGAGATCGGTATATCTTGTTGAAAGTGGACTAGATAAAAATTTACAGTACTTCCAATAAATCGATTAACCTTTCATTTTAGGAAAATGTTTTTTAAATCCGAAGGGAGAGAGATATTTGGACGAGCCAGTGGATAAAGTGTCAAATTCTGTTTGCAAGATTTAAACTTCAAAGAAATTGACAGCGAATACTGGGAAGTTACTTGGAATTTCTGTAAAAATAGAACTTTGTGGAGATTTAATCTTGAAAGAAGTAAAGCTGTCATATTATGATCAATAAAAGACAAGTACAAACCTAACAACCTTCACCAAAGAGGAACTGCATATTTATTTGTAGGTAAAAGCTATATAATGAGGGGCGGAGGTCTCATATTCGATGACTCTGTTTTGAGTTACCCTATTTGGTTTTACACTTCTTGGGGATGCAATTAACAATATGCTTAATTATTTACACATTTAAGAACCATTTTAATTGAACTGCGATTCCGTTAATGAAATAAAAAATCAGTTAACATGACAGAATTTATAAAACGTCACAATGTTTTACATTACGTTTTTAATTGCAATAATAGATCAAACGGCACATAAACCATAAAAGAGGTACATCTTCTTGACATTACAAGTTCACAGTGAACATTGTGATAGTAACTGCTGAAGGAATAGTCAGACAGTCAGTCAGCTACAACGTAGGATCAAGCACATATATGCATCGGTCCAAGTTGCCATACCTCATTAGCACAGCACGATGAAAACCGGATCCATTGGAGTAGTTAAGTCAGTGGTGGTAATGTATAAAAGAAAGATTCCATATAAGGATATAGTACAGGAAGAAAGAATCAGTTCGTAGAAAGAAAGATATGTATACACCTACGCCATTTTGATCGATTCTGAGCCATGTCATCCAGTCCCCAACCATTGGTTACGATAGTCACATGGACCCCAAGCAAGTAGTCTGCATCTACCAACATAACTAAAACCAGAAGTTAGTAATTTCAAGGACCGATGCCACGTTTTGATTTGGCCGCCTCTAACATTCTTCCAACCATCTCCAACACTACTCAGCTTTGCGCGTCGTGGTAATCGGTGTTCAAGTATACGTGACACGTGGCTTAACCATCTCAGTCGATGAAGATTCACAACTTCATCAACTGATTTACCATCATTCCTTAATACCCAGTGTCTAACTCCACGATTACTTACCAGGTGATCCCAGTAGATGCGAGCGATTTTAATCTCATGGTTTAAAGGAAGATAGAGAGTGTATACACTACCTACGCCATTGTGATCGATTCAGAGCCATGGCATCATGAGTCTCCAACAACTGTTTACGATAGTCACACGGATCCCAACGAAGTAGTCTGCATCTAACAACATGGCTCAGACCAGAACTTAGTGACTTCAAGGACTGATGCCAAGTTTTGGTTTGGCAGCTCCTAACTTTCTTGCAACCATCCCCAACACCGGTTAGCATACTAGGTGATAGCGTAATCTGTTGTTTTACAATACATGAACAAAATAAAGAATTTATCAGAGAAACGCAAATAAAATGCTTTCTATTGAAGGCATCATGTAAAATGTCTGTTTATGAAAAGAAAGAAGTGTTATACATGCTTTACGATTAGAATTTCTTCGTGTTCATAAATAATCCTGAAGAAGTAAGAATAAAGACCGTTTGATTGTTGATACCATTCAGGAAGAAGCGCTGGAAGTGGATAGGACACACATTGAGGAAAGCACCCAACTGCGTCACAAGACAAGCCCTCACAAGCAATCCTCAATGTGAAAGGAGAAGAGGAAGACCAAAGAACACGCCAAGAAATAAAAACAGACATGAGAAGAATGAACAACATTAGGATAGCACTGGAAAGGAAGGCCGAGGACAGAGTGAGTTGGAGAATGCTAGCCGGCAGCCTATGTTCCATTGGGAGCCACAAGCGTAAGTAAAGGTAAGTAAGTAAAACCATTGATTATTCACCTTCGAAGTATATGTAAAAAATACTATTATTATTACATAATTTACAAATTACCTTTTTATGATCTGGATCAATATAATCTAGCAATGTATCACAAAAATGTGAACCCATTTTCTCAAAATCCAAAGAATTAAAATGATAACCTTCTTCTAAATCATTACCAGCTGTACCACAAAATGTTGCCTGAAATAGTTTGCATAGTTAATAAAATAAAATACTTAATAGAACTAATAGAATATGAGAGAATTTAGGAAATTATTCGTGAACAATATTTTTGATAGTGTTTTTCAACTATATTTCTTAAGCGTTGGCTCACGAGGACAAACATCCTGGGTTCGAATCCCGCAAGCGGGATCATAGATGCGCACTGCTGAGGAGTCCCACGATAAGAAGAAACGTCCATCCAAAGCTCCCTGTTTTTCAATGGTAGTCTAACGTCAATCGGTTCATGTTCTCAATCAAAAACTGATTAATATCCACAACCGCATACTGATATTTCTTATTGAAACAATTTATGCATCATCATTATTTGGATAATGAATGATGAATAAAGTAAAATCGGACCATTACAAAATAAATAGGAACGAAGAAAATAAGTATCTTACTTCTTCAGTCCATTCAGGCCTTATACTTTATTTATTTGAACATAAAAATATCGATACAAAGGGGCATCGAATACATATGCGTTACACAAGTCACTTGATTTGTGTGTGGGCTGTGATATTACCCGGGTTCCCAAACCGAAGCAGGTGGTTTTCTAGGGGACCATAACTGGAGCATTTGACCTAAAAGTCTGATCTACAAGGTAGTGAAGCAACGTCAGGAAATACAGTCCCATAGTAGCCGGTGACCAACAATTGGTTCATATGCCATTTGTTCCTTCAGGATACTGGAGCCCATTCGCACCATTGATTTGGAATCAGGGTTTTCCAACTCCCCTAGGTAGATCCTTCGTATCCACCAACTCAGTTAAAACGCCGGATATTCGCTTTTCATCCTCTCAATTTCGTAAACAATAGTAGTGCCGCGAGAAGAAAGTGAGTAAGACTTCCCTGACGATGGCTATATTGGTGTGGCCATGTGAGAGCATTTGGAGAGGGAGAAAGGACTTTCCCCACCCTCTGCTATATCAGAGCGTTTTGGGGCCTTGTAATAGTGTTCTTTGAGAATTTATCTCTTTAAAATCTCCTATGGAATCACAGATACTCGTATAATTTATCAAATAGTGTATAACAATAATAAGTTGATAAAAGAATATAATTTCACATTGTATTATTTTCAATCTGATCAAATATCGGAAGTAGATAAACATCTATAGTTTTTTTGTTAGAACACTGTGATTGATTTTTGTTAAAACCTACATATCTCAATAAGCATTCGTTTAAAGAAATACGAAGGATACAAGATAAACATACAATTTCTTCTTTTTTTAAATCGAATTAATCTCGGTAACCAAAATTTGTCAACATACATTGTCAGAATGAGTTTTGTGGAGAGTTTTAGAAATTTCACAGGTTGAAATCATGAGTCGATTGAAGCTAGACCACCATGGAAAACCTGGAAGCACTGGACGGCCGTTTCGTCCTAGTATGGGTCTAGCTTCAATCGACTCATGATTTCAACCTGTGAAATTTCTAAAACTCTCCACAAAACCCATTCTGATAATAATCAACTGCTCACTAGTGACTGACTTCAGGAAAAACTCCTGGAGTTCTAGTGAGAAGCCGTTACCAGTGGAGTTCAACCAGGTCTGTTGTGAGATATCAACTCACTGAAGACAATGGTGTACGGTGGCGCAACTTCGTGGATTGGTTAAAGTTAGACATTAACACCGTTGGATGCCGATTAGCTCAGTGGTCTAGTGGTTAAGTGCTCGCGCGCGAAACCAGTATGTCCTGGGTTCGAGCCCCGCGTGGTGCGGGATCGTGGATGTGCACTGCTGAGGAGTCCCATACTAGGACGAAACGGCCGTCCAGTGCTTCCAGGTTTTCCATGGTTGTCTAGCTTCAATCGACTCATGATTTCAACCTGTGAAATTTACATTGTGTTCTTAAGGGATTAGTGAAGAAGGAATTGTAAACAACTAGAAGTTTTTTGAAATTCCTCACCTTTTCATTTCATGAATCATAAGCTTTCAATTAATCAATAAATTACCGTCATACTCTCTTCTGGTCCTCAATATTATTGTAGTTTAAACATGAATGCTGAATTCCATTTCCTTTAACTTTGATACCCTAGTTTGGTATATTTGTATTTCTCTCATTCCTTATATGTTATTATCCCGTTATTCATACATCTATTCGTGTACCTTTTCAAATGAGTTGAATCAGATAACATGCGGATACCATTTCTTGATACAATAATCTTCACTTTTCATTTGTCAAATAGTCACATTATTATTCAGCTATACGATCATTCTTTTCGCCATGCTCTGAATGTTCTTTAGTCTTAAAGTTGAATTAAAACGTTGGAGTCATAAAGTTTATCTCAGTAACCCAATTAGGTGAAGGCTATAAACTAGTTTCTGGAAAGTTCTACCCGCGATTGGCTACGTACAGACTAATCAGTAGATAACTTGGTTATAACAGGTTTATATTTTACAAAGATTTGATCAGGAAAAAGTATCCACGAGCAAGGGATGTCGAATAATACAAAAGTACTATGTTTTGTGATATTTTAGAAATCAACAGAACAAAATGTGTCTGATGAAAACGGCAATGTACTTTACTATTTATCAAACAAATAATTAGTCAGTGACGATTACTTCTTTATATTATTTTAGGCGAATGAATGAACAAAACGTCTTTACAAAGTATATTCGTTTAGTGCAAGGCAGAGATTTGAGCATTAATATATCTGTATGTAACAAACTACTAATTTGTATGATCTAAATATATCAGAGTAACATGAAACATAACTACTAACACGTTTGGATAATCCTCTATGGATGTCAAAGATAAACAGTTATGTTGCGTTTCTTTACAATAGCTAACTCTGTAATTAGTTTTTCCGAATGGAACCGGCTGAGGCCAGGATGAACTAAAACTTCCCATAATAAAAGCAGATATGAATACCAGTATCGGAAACACAACATTTATAGCTCTCTGTTACTGGTGACTGAAAGTATGATATTGTTGAGCATATCAATGAAATAATTATATGCGCATTTTCTTGCTTCCTTTGATTATGTCAATATTTTTGAAGAAATGAAAACTAGTTGCTTAGATGTCTTTGATGACGTAATTGGTTCTTGAATATGATTCTAATTTCAGCTAGCAAACTGATCTTAGAAATAGATTTTTGTAGGCCAATTGAGGATGGATTAAAATTGAACAGTTAGACCATAGAAATTTATAATGAATAATGGATAGACTGACTTTTCTTTTATCCTTATGTAATATCTACGCGTTTCATTGATTTTCATGGCTAAATAAATGACAATTTTTTTTATATTTGAAGGATTATGAATACGGATTATTAAGTGTACCAATGTTTTCCCACTATAAACAATGATGAACAGTTAAGAAGCATATAACACAGTGACAAAAAAGGTACTGGGAAAGGGTACTCAAGTATTTACAGTGTTACAGATGGCAGCAATTCAGATTATATAAATGGGAAGTAGTACAAGATGACGATAATTTACACAATGTGTAGTAGGACGAAACGGCCGTCCAGTGCTTTCAGGTTTTCAATGGTGGTCTAACATCAGTCGGTTCATGATCTCAATCAAACCTTAACAATCTCCACAACCCCTATACTGATAATTACCATGTCCACACTAGTAACTAGCTTCGCGAGAAAATTCTCGGAGTTCTGATAAGAAGCCGTAACCAGTGGAGCTAATCCGTGTCGGGTAGTGTTATATCTACCTCAGTTCAATGGAAGATGGTCGCGCAATTTCGTGGATTGGTTGAGGTCAGACATTAACACCGTTGGATGCCGGCTCAGTGGTTCAGTAGGTTAATCGTTCGCGCGAGAGGCCGAAGGCCCTGGGTTCGAACCCCGTGGGCGGGATCGTGGATGCTTACTGCTGAGGGGTCCCACAATAGGACGAAATGGCCGTCCAGTGCTTCCAGGTTTTCAATGGCGGTCTAAAGTCAATCGGTTCATGACCTCAATCAAAACTTAGCAATCTCCACAACCACTATACTGATGATTTTAATAACTTGTATGCTTATATATATATGATATTTAGTATAACACTTACTTCTAGTGTATAACTATTTATAATTCCTTCTCTCCACATTACAATACGTCCAGTTCCTTCTTTTTCCTTCTGTACAGCAAATTTACATTTGTCAAAATTAAACTATAATTTATTAGAAAACATGAAATAGTTTTTAAATAGGATATTAAAACAGATATGACTTGAAATGATATGGAAAGTTGATTTACGGTCTGTTTTTTTTTGAGGGGGGGACATAATTGTAAATACTATTTAGTAAGTGTTATATCCAAGCGAAGATTGAATCACGAGTACCTTCTGAGACCTATTAATGGACTATTATTATTTATATATTCGTATGGTATAAATATTCAGTATTTGTATTGTGTATATTCATATTCATCTTATTATAAGTTTCGTTTTGACCTATAGATTATTATTGTACGATTGACTGTTCTCAAGTTATGTTCAGTTTATTGATTACAGTCTCCCACGTTCGCAGTCACTTTTTGGTTTGATTGTGTATAAATGTTATTTCCTATTTTATGGTGTGTTGCGGTCTGTTTGTTTGATAATATAAACACAGTGGTCTCAAATAAATGATTTGTACAGTGGAAGCTGTTACTGGTGTTCTGGACTCAAGTGAACGGGCTAGGCGGACACAGGACCAATAAGGACGCTAGACTGTTCATACCGGTCGAACGTCACAGTGCTAAGATTTTATGAATCGTATTTTTATTAGTGAATAAATCACGTGATAAGAAGCCGGACATAAAGTCATCACAGTAATGAGTCAATATTTACTTTACCAGATTATGAAAGATCAGTATTGATCATGTTTTATTTTAGATAAGTGTTTTATTTAAATTTCTTCAAACATTTGACAAACCTGAGAATCATCATTCTATTTCAATGGGTGCCAAATAGTAAATTCTAGTCCATTAGGTTAAGTTACAACGAAAACAAAATAGTTTATCATGATAATTTACTGCAAACAAGAAATCTGTTTGTACAGAAAGTCAAACAGAGTATAATTGTCAATATAGGTTCAACTCATATATTTATAAAAAGAACTAATTCTATCTAGTTAGTCAGTCAGTTACAACGTAGGATCAGGCACATATATGCATTGGTCTAAGTTGTTATACACCTCATTAGCGCAACAAGATGAAAATCGGATTCATAGAAGTACGAAATCAGTAAAAGTTTTCTGGTCATCACGCATTAGAACTTATGTATGTGACAGAAAAATAAAGGTTTTATGGATAGATTCACTTTTGTGCATGTTTCAACGTTGTTCTATTCGTCCATGAAATATTTATTTCTCAATGAAATGAAAGATTTTATAGTATAACACTATGAGATGATTTAGAAGATTTGTAGCTGAAGTGGATGATTTTGATGGAGTTTTGTTCTCTGAGCTGGATGGTTTGGTCACAGAGCTTTTATCACTCTTCTGAATGACATCATCAACACAAACTTCAGATAGAAGTGAAGTGTTCGAATTTCTCCACATGTGGTTCACATTTTGTCCTGTAGACCTCTATGTTGATTAGTTCTTGTTGTGCTGATGATGTCGTTCAGAAGAATGATGAAAGCGTCACGATCAAACCATCCAGCTCAGAGAACAAAACTCCATCAAAAAAAGTGTGACACTATATTTGAGTGATTATTTGACATTGGAAATTCCCTTAATTTTTCTTGTGACGTCACATACAAACAAAGAATAGCATAGTAACAGTTGAGGATTTAAAAATCCACAACTGAGATTTAATGGTGACTTTAAAAAAGTAATAGTTGTCTATAGTTTCATGTCACGGGATGATTTTGTCTAAAAATGAAAACCCCAGATAGCTGATCTGTTCTAGCATGGAATTATCTGTTATAAGAGGAATTCACGAACTAAGGGATTCACAAAGAGCTCTTAACCTGCAGAAAAATGAGTGTGTTGTTCAGTTCTCGACCATAAACAAATCGAGCAATATTATTTTACATAAACGCTCAACACTCAGACTAAGTCTGATTTCAAAATACTCAATTATTTCTTATCTAACAATCATGAGGATGTACCCAAATCTAAACATGATTCATTTCTTATTATTGATCAGTGGTCAGATATCTTATTGCTCTCTATTAGAGTTAAACGAATTATCACGTATCATTTATGCGAGGTTTATTAATTTAAATAACTCAAATGCAAAACTTTTATCAACGATACAGTTTGCCTGTTCTGACTATGGTCACATCAAGGCAGTATTTGATAATTAAAGGAGTTATTTTGAAAAGCTGTCTTCATTTAAATTACATTCTTTAGAGTTATCCTCTAATGTTTATGTTCATAAATCAAATATTACCATCAGCGCTGAATGTCGGTCATGGAGTATCATGAGTTGATTAAAATAATAAATGGTAATCATTGGGTTCTGATTAAGTGATATGAAGGTTAAGCGCACACCTCAAGGTCTTAAATTTTTACTTTGTTCCTCCTTGGGTCTTGGATGCGTACAGGCGAAGAGTCTCATATTAGAACAAAACATTTCTGATGGATCCTGTTTTTCATTAGTTATTAAGCTAAAGTCACTCCGTTCTGCAAAACCTCTAGTTTAACAATCTTCAATTCACCCTATAATAAATATTTCATCAGTAGCAATATAGAAACTTGATTAAATCTTACTCTTTCAAAATAATAAAGCATAAATTATTGGTCAGACTCTATTCAGTTTCAAGAATATCATTACAAAATGTTAAACTTTGCTAAATATGAAGAATATTGTGAGAAACATGAAGGGGTTGAAAAGAGTACTCCAGTGTTTCGGTATTACCCACTTCAAGTTAGAACCATTCGGCCTAAAATTATTTAGTGAGTAATCAATCAGAACTGCTTCAAAAGTAATTAACTTACAACGTAAATTTTAAGCAAAAATGGATAGTGGCTAGCAGTGGAATCCAGGACGAGCGTTTCGTCCTATCTCGAACTTATCAGCTGGATGTACCTACATCACAGAGTTGATCTTCACTCTGGGACTCGAACCGAACACCGTTCGTTTCAAATGTCACCGAGTAATCCACTTACCTACTGAGTTCTGATAGCCACCTGCTTGTGCAATCGGGTGAAGTTTAAAATCACTTTGTGTTGTTTTTCTTGTATCTTCCAATTATTATTTAGGACAGCAATTAATCAATCTCATAATGGCATATGTGCATCGTGTGCGGATTGCCTTGATATAACCTTTAGTCACAAGTAAAACAACACCAAGTGAATTTACAACATAAATGTTGAAGATAAACTACATTTTTCCTGAGTTGAATTATTTTATATTATATGACATTCTTCTATTACCGGTTTTCACTTTGTATCATAAATCGGTTTTATTGAACCGAAGAACTCATGTGATGGGGAATACTTAAAGTATCCTCTAATATTTTAGTCAAAAGGTATGATTCCATAGGCGATATGAACCACTTAATCTTTAGATATTTTACGCTTTTATAACTCACATAGAGATATATTTATGTATTATATAGTTGTCATGTTATTTACACAGAAACATAACCTCCAATGTTAACATATAACAAAGAAGAATTATGTGCCAAACATCATATCACTTAAAGAAAACACAACAAATGTCACTCACCAATTCTGGTATATTTTTACTTAACATAGCAGGAAATATACGTGAATAATACTGCTTTTCAGGGGTTTGACTTTTACATCCATATATAAACATTTGTTGCTTTCGACTATGTCCATGTAGGTCACAATAAACAACAACTTCATACTGTTTCATGACACTGTAATACATATGAATGAAAATAAATTCTAAATTTAAACACTAAATAATGTTAAATGAAAGGAGTAATGTGTAATGAATATATTAAAACAAATGCTATTGAGTCAAATATGAATAATGCATAATTAAATATAACCAGAGAGGTGTTTTGTGTAGATTGTAGTAATTTACTAATTGAATTCATGAATCGATTGAAGCTAGACCACCATGGAAAACCTGGAATCACTGGATGGCCGTTTCGTCATAGTATTGGAATCCTCATCAATGCGTATCCACGATCTCACCTCGAGAGATTCGAATTCAGGACCTATCACTCTCGCGAGCGAGGGTTTTACCTCTAGACCATTGGGCTGGCTGGCTTCCAACGGTGTTAAAATGTAACTTCAACAAATTCACGAAATTGAGCCATTACTCACCATTGTCCTCAGTGAGTTACTATTTCACAAAAGACCCGGTTAAACTCCATTGGTCACTGCCTCTCACTAGAACTCCATGAAATAACTATTGGAGACAGTAACTACCGCGCTTATGTTCATTATAATGCTTTCGCGTTCGCCTATGAGACTGATAGGTTGTGGGTTCGAGTCTTGAGGGGCGGGGTCGTGGATGCTCACTGCTGAGGAGTCCCATACTAGGACGAAAGGGCTGTTCAATGGTTCCAGGTTTTCCATGACGGTCTAGCTTCAATTGACTTGTGAATTCAATTATTAAATATATTATTTTACATCATGTATTCAACACATTCAAGTGGATTAGTTTAATTAGTCTCATTGAAAAGAACAATACTTAGGAAACGGTTTGTAAAATTGATTTGATCAACAGTAATAGAAAAATTTACTAGCAGATTATTCTCATTATTCATCTGATAGTCACATGATCGTTCAAGCAAATTTATGTGATTTAAGAGTCTATCATTGTTTCCTGTAGTTGCCTGAGAAATAGGAAGTAAATATAGACTAGCACATGAAACTTAGCGGTGTCTTGGTACCATTGCGCTCTGCACTAGTTAGCTTCAGCATAAATGAATTGTTTTTCTGTGCTAAGTGTTATGTCCTATAGCTCATCAATTATCACTTGGCAAATTCGCCAGTTAGGACAGACTTATAAAACCTTGGCCCTGTGCCAAACTAATGATGCGTCGACCAGGACGAGCAGCCTCGAGTGAACTCCGAATCTTTATTGGTTCTTCACGGCTAGCCTTACTTATATGAGTCCCGAACACAATCTCAGCTTCCACTGTATGAATCATGTATTTCAGACATACATAGTTTACATAGAAGCAAGTCAGAGCGCATCATAACGTAAAATAGAAAATAACAACTATACAAGATCAAGCCAAAATATGCCTGTGAGTGTAAGAGACTGTAACTAATAAATTGAGAGTAACTCAAGAATATTAAATCCTATAATAGTAGCCAGTAGGTCAAATGAAAGGAATACGAATACATATATAGTCTAGTTACTCAATAATTATCCAGTCAGAATTTAAAAAATGATAGTTCCTAAATAATTCCTAGCAGTTTTCATTCATTTATTCTTTGTTAAGATACAACATCAAGGACTTCCCCTCGTGAATGTAGTGTAGATTCTCATGAAGCGAATTTCACCATCAATATTCATTCACTTCAGAAATGAATGCTGAAAAACCATTGCTTACTGAAGACCTATGGGAAAAAAACCTTATAAATTTGTTTATTCTCTACTTTAAGAATTACGTTCATTTACTAATCCAGCTTTTTGGCTATTTATTCAACATTCAAACATAACATTTGATGATTGATTTCGATGGAAACGAAATTCACAGATAGAGAGATGCGAATATATTACTCTTTCAAATTATTTGAACTCACTTCTTAAATGCCTATAATAAGGGAAATCTACCATACTCAGTTCGTTCTGTTTTAGTTTACGGCTACGAAACATAGCCATTAAGAGTTGAAGATAGTCATAAGCTACTAGTATTTGATCACAGATATCTTAAAAATGTTGCTCGCATCTTCTGAGATCACCGGCTAAGTAACAGTGAGGTTGGACGCGGGGTATTTTAATGATCGTAAATCAGTTGATGAGGTTGTGAATCTTTATTGACTGAGATGATTGAGGCACGTGTTAAGTATACGTGAACACCGATTACCACGACGTGCAATGCTGAATAGTGTTGGGAATGGTTGGAAGAAAGTCAAGGGTGGCGAAAATAAAACGTGGTATCATTCCTTGAAGTCACTAATTTCTAGTCTGACCCATGTTGGTAGGTGCAGACTACTTGGTTGGGGTCCACGTGACTATCGTAACCAATAGTTGGAAATTCTTGGTGACATGGCTCATAATCGACCACAATGGCGTCGGTGTATACACTCTTTGTCTTCCCTGAAACCATGAGATTAAAATCGCTTTATAACTTTCTTTCTACATACTCAATCTTTCTTCCTGTACTATATCCTTATATGCAATCTTTCTTTTATATATTACCACCATTGACTTAACTACTCTTATAAATCCGGTTTTCATTCTGCTGTGCTAATGAGGTATGGCAACTTGGATCGATGCATATATGTGCCTGATCCTACGTTGTAGCTGACTGACTGACTGATCATAGTCAGGGAAACATTTCCATTCACATCATAGTTACGTTACAAATTAAATCTAAGCTAATCATTTCGATTGAAAAAAAAGAAGAATTACTTACTTTATAATCATTTGTTTAGTATGCCAAATTGTAGGAAAGAAACGTTTTAAACTAGATGTATATTTACGATTCAAATCACAACCTGATAATGAACAACGATAATTTCCTACAATTACTCCATCAGGATTTAACATTGGAATTAATTTGAACACAAAATTAGATCTTAATACCTATTCAAAGGTAAATAATGAATACAGTGATAATTTAATAGATTGAAGAACTTGATAAGAATTTATTAAAAAGAATATTCTGAAGTTGTAAAATAGGGTTTGAGAAAGAACAGAAGGCGTCAATAAAAGCAATATTTATACTAAACAATTAACATCTGATGATGTCACTCTCTTTCCAGTTATCTCAACATTATTCATTAGAAATAAAACATTAATAGTTTTATTCATAAGTCAAATGAAGTTAGACTACCATGGAAAACCTGGAAGCATGGGTCCTAGTACGGGACTCCTTAGCAGTGCGGATCCACGATCACGCTCCCCGCGAGATTCGAACCCAGGACCCCGTTGGTCTCGCGCGAGAACGCCTAACTTTTAGACCACTGAGCCAACATCCATCGGTGTCAATGTCTAACTTCAACTAGTCCACAAAATTGCAACTAGTAAACTGATTTCTAACTGGTCGTGAAAATCCATAGAATCATGCCAAAGATAGACGATTTTCACTGACATTCAATTTAAAGATTCTAATAATAGAAGTCAGAAATATTTAAAAAAAACACATTATGTTGTTTAACTTCTTTATATCTTTTTTCTATCCATCCTATTATTTGCGGATTTGTTTAGGACAAGCTCTACTTCAGCATGCATTCATAACTTCACGTTTGTTATTTTTGAAGCAAGTTATACTGGCTACAAAAATCCGCCATCTTTAAAATATATCTCTCAAAGTTACCTCTTCCTGCTTACTATCGAAATGTGTATGAAAGTTAATTCTTGAACACGTTACAGATTCAGATCACGTTGGTTCAATAAAATCATCACTCGAAATTGTTACTAATACGGTTATATAAATTGATTTCAAAATTTAAACTTTGTGTTACTCTTAGAGCATTGTATGTAGATAACATAAAAACGACAAGAAATATCTGGTCAGAACAATTAATAAACAGTATGAAAGTGTTGGTAAACATATAATAAATTTCGATAGTGTAATAAGAAGACGAAGATTATCAGTACTATATGACGGTATATTAACGCAATACATTTCGACATTAACACCGTTGGATGCCGGCTCAGTGGTCAAGTAGGTTAAGCGTTCGTGAGCGAGACTGAAGGCCCTGGATTCGAATTCCGTGGGCGGGATCGTGAATACGCACTACTGAGGAGTCCCGCAATAGAACAAATCAGTCGTCTAGTGCTTCCGGGTTTTCAACGGTGGTCTAACATCAATTGGTTCAAGATCTAAATCAATAACTTAGTAATCTACATAACCCTATACTGGCATTTCGAACAATCTGATCACACATATACTTGTTAGTAACATTTATATATAAAAATAAAAGATCATCTAGACTAGAAATCCCAGGGCAGGGTTGGATGGAGAGTGCTGGTGGGCGGCCTATGCTCCTCCACGTAGAGTAACATGCGTAAGTAAGTCGGCTAGAAATAGAGGGTAAGAGGAGACACGGAATAATAAAAAAACCTTATCACTCTGGATAATAATCTAATATTACCAGGGTAGGTTTAAGGTGAGAACGAACTGTTTCTGAATACACAAAGGGGGTGTGAGTTTTCGTGTGGCTAAGGCTTCAATAAACCTTAGTATACGCCACTTTACACTTTTGTACCACACCATAAAAGCCTAGTTAAGATCAATTTTATGACCTATTCCAATTATAAGTTTAGCAATAGAAGATGATGAATGTTTATCCTCTACTCTTATTAGATCATTTGATTTTATTTGTTTCTGCGAATGTATCACTCTAATACATCCTATAGTTTGGATAATCAACGTCTTCTTATTACACTATCGAAATTTATCAAAGGGACTAATTGCTTCAAACATATGATAATATAGCTTAACTCGTATGAAAACTAATTCTTCATGTTATAATCAGTCTCTTTCAAGGAAATCTAATCAAATATCAAAATAAACAAATGCGAATAAATGGTTCATCGGTTAACTGTTTACGTAACAAAATAATTTGGTTTATATTAACTCGGTACCTAAATACTGTCCAACTATTAGTTTGAATTCAGATAAAAACTCTTATAAATTGTTTAACCAATGTTTATATTGAATCACTAAATATGGAAGAAATCTCTTAAGTAGATGAAAATAATATTACATACCTTAGCATCTGGATCTGTACTTATAAGAAAATCCAATAAACCTTTCATCATCCAGCTACCTTGTGTTTCACCAGGATGTACACGTGCTGTAATTACGACGCAACGTTTCTTCTCCAGTGGCTTATTATTATTATTAGTATCGGTAGGTTGTGCTTGAAAATCTGAACGCGACTGGACAAAAACACTTAAGTTAATGGATGAAATAGAACAATGTAGTGCTATATATATATATATATATATATATATATATATATATATATATATCAGAAGGGTTTTTGTGGAGATTGTAGTAATTGCAATAGTTGAGATCATGAGTCACTTGAAGCTAAATGATTATGAAAAGCCTGGAATCACTGGATGGCCATTTCGTCTTATTGTGGGACTCCTCAGCAGTGCGCATCCATGATCCCGCCTCGCGAGATTTGAACCCAGGACCTATCAGTTGAGTTCCTGAGTCAATCTAAGCTACATCACCGTTGGAAACCAGGAAGGACGGCCGTTTCGTCCTAGTATGAGACTCCTCAGCGATGCGCATCCATGATCCCACATGCGCACAAAACAGCCGTCCAATGCTTCCAGGTCTTAAATTGTGGTCTAGCTTAGATCGACTTATGAATTCAACTATTAACATTAATACAATTTACACAAACTCCCATTTTGATATATTTATTAGATAGTTATTAATCTTGTTATGGTAATGATTACTCCAGATATTATGTAACACACAACCCTTATAAACATCTGGTTCTCGGATTTCAAATGAATAATAAAATAATCTTTTATATATAGAAAAAGTTCTGGGCAGTTTGGGTGGTTTCATGCCATTTTTATGATAATAAATACTTATACTTTTTATAAATTATACATATCATATCTACGCGAAGTTTTTTTAAATATATATATGTCAGAATGAGGGTTTCTGGTTAGGTTAGACCACACTGGAAAACCTGGTAGCATTGGACGTCCGTTTCGTCCCAGTGTGGGACTCCTCAGCAGTGCACATCCATGAATTGAAATTCAAAATTTATGGTCAGATAAACAAAGATGTATACCGTTATGAATAGATTAGTTCTCACAATGATAATAATACAATATGATAGCAATGAACATTTTAAATGAAGTTTTATAAAAAAAGGTCTAAAATATTTGACGAAAATCTGATAAGTTGTCTAGCCAAAGTGAAGGTCATTTGAATTAGGTGAAATTAACACTGTGAACAGTATGAATTAAATTGAGTGACTACAATGCATCTCACCGGTTGTGATACGTGATTCCCTTAGATTTCATCTGGGTCACTTGTTCATGACTTGAATTAATCAGATGCTCAGTGGTTCATAGGTATTTCAATGAATATCCAGCTCACTCCAAATTTATGATAAAGTTAGGTTTTAAGATATTTTCTTTTTTAAAAGTCACTTAATTTTACAAATCTTACACTCAAATGTCTCTTTCCCTAAAATACTTATGATAAGGACTTATACCTGCCAGGTCGATGGTCTAGAGGTTAAGTGTTTGTGCGCAAGAGCGAACGTTCTAACCTGGATTACCATGTGCAGGATCGTGAATGTGCACCGTTGAAGAGTCCCGTACGAAGATGAAACGGCCATCCAGTGCTTTCAGGTTTTCAGTCGTAGTTTAACTCAAATCAGTTCATGATTTCAGTGAAATTCAACAATCACTATAATCCCTTACTGGCACATGGATGTAACTATATAATCTGTTTTATTAATATAGTACCTACTCAATTACATGGCAGTAATGTATTAAGTTCCTGAATATGTTTGGTATATTAAAACGTAAGAAATTTAACCAGCAACAAGTTCAATGTACAATAAAACACTTCGCTAACCTTATTCGGAAGTTGATCGACATTGTTATTATCACTACTATTACGTTCATCATAATCATCTGGCTCTGTAATGGTTAATAATGGTACTGGATTACTAGCTAATGTATAACAAAGGGTTGTCTGTTGACATATTCTCTTAATTGACGAATTTAATGTTAATTTATTTAAATATTCTTGAAGTTGGGTATATGTGTATGGATAACATGCAGCGAAGTATACAATATCATTTGGATAAGGAAATTCGAATTTCCAAGTTAATGAATATGTTTGATGTAATTTAGAAGTATCATCCTTTTGTGGTTTGTTTTTGAACTGTAGTTTATTGTCTGTAGATTCCATATATCTATAATTTGAAAGGAAAAATATGTTATTCTAATAAGAATGTGAGTGATTTTAACAGAATAAATAGGACTGGTAAGATTTGACATTTGTCGATAAAGAAATAAGAAGCTTTCCAATCAAAGATGGATAGTGGTTAGCGGTGGAATCCAGGACGCGTGTTTCATCCTTTTCGGGACTTGTCGGCTGGATGCACACGCATCATAGCTACTGAGTCCTGATAGCTACCTCCTTGTGTAATGGGGTGAAATTTAAATTCACTGGGTATTGTTTACTTGTATCTTCTCATTGATGTTTAGGACTGTAATTAATCAATCTCTTATTGGCATACGTGCATTCTGTGCGGATTGCCTCGATAGTACATTAGATCAGAAGATTTTTTAAGCAAAGATGAAAGTAGCGTAAATGTGATAGTTTAAGCACGCTGAAGGAGAATTAGTTAACAAAACATAAGCTGTATTAAAAAAATTAAACAGTTTAAACTAATAACTATTCCATTAAACTTGCTAAAAACTGTGAAACAGTTAGAAACTTCTTTGTTTACTGTAATTCCATTCTAAGAAAGTTGATTAACACAACCTACGTTTAAACTGGTGTAGAACTTAGAAATAATGACACCAGTTATGAAACTCATTTCAGCACTGCGCACCTATGATCCCGCTCGCGGGACTCGAACCCAGGGCCTTCGGTCTCGCGCGCGAACGCTTAACCTTTAGACCACCGAGTCACGACATTGTACAAGAGGAATTAAATTGATATTGATAAATAATTATGTTAGAAGTTATAAATAAAATAAACATTGAGTTAATCCTACAGAATCTTTGATATTCTTTTATAAATATCGATAAAAACCGGGTCCGTTGTGAGATAGTAACTCACTGAAGACAACGGTGAATGTGTCGCACAATTTCGTGGATTAGTTGAAGAAAGACATTAACATCGTTGGATGCCAGCTGGCTCGGTGGTCTAGTGGTTAAATGCTCGCGCGCGAAACCAGTAGGTCCTGGGTCCGAAACCCTCAGGGGGCGAGGTCATGGATGTGAACTGCTGAGAGGTCATACATTAGGACGAAACGGCTGTCCAGTGCTTCCAAGTTTTCCATGGTGGCCTAGCTTCAACTGACTCATGATCTTAACCATTGAAATTACTACAATCTCCACAAAACCCATCTGATAATAAAAATAAACATCCTATACTGAATAGAAATAATAAATTCATATAAACATTGACTAACTTTGTTTGATAGTAGGTTATATCACTACCAACACGTCGCCATCCAATACCGGTTAATTTAGCCATTTTCTCACTGTACATTAATGGTCTCATACCTTGTGCAAATAAACTAGTGGACTGTAAATTGATTTAAGAATGTTTAAGAAAGAAAGTGAGCTATTTTATAAATAATTCACTTCTGATAGTGTAATGAAATAGATTTGAATAAATAATGTGTATGTTTCGTCTCAGTATGGGACTCAGCCGTGCGCAACCACGATCCCGCTTGCGGGATTCGAACCCAGGATCTTCAGTCTCGCTCACGAATGCTTAACCTCTAGACAGCTGAGCTGTCACCCAACGGTGCTCCACTAGAACTTCGAGAATTCCTTCACGAAGCCAGTCACTGGTGAACAAATTGGTCGTGGATGCGCACTGGTGAGGAGTCTCATACTAGGACGAAACAGCCATCTGGAGCTCCTAGGTTTTCATGGTGGTCTAAAATCAATCGATTCATGATCTCAATCAAAAAGATATTTCTTAGTTCTTTTTTAATATATTCTCAAAAGCAATTGTCAGAATCCTGTAATGGATAGCAAAGATAATGAGTTGTACTATTTATGTTTTATTTTTGTCAACCATTTTCCATCAATATTGGACACATATCGAACGCATTTGGCTAAAGATTTGTATATTGAAAATATAACTGTACTTTCTTGAAAGTTTACATCTTGGAGATTGTTAGTTATGTCCAATCGTTGTTTAAGCGCCCACCACGTTAATCTGGTTTGATGTGTTTGTAGACTTACCCTATTGTATGTGACCTGCCAACAGAAGGACATTATAATCCTATTATATTGGTGTGACTCTTGATTTTTATTCATTTAGATAATACACTCAATACTGGTCGAAACTTTGTCTTACAGATACTCTACTAAAACTATAAACGCGATACTGGTCAATGTAGAGTCCTTGTTTTGACTATAACTTTCACATAGACTTTGTGGTCGCCAGTATCACTTTTACAGTTCTAGTAGAATATCTGTAACTTATTTTCAGATCACAAAACAGCTTACATATCATATCAATTCGAAAATATAACTTTAACAGATGAAAACGATACAATTATCAAGCTTCTACTTTATTGTACTTTAACACTTATGATATACTAAATCGATTATGGAGATGTTTTAGATTGGATAGTATATTAATTCAAGGATAAATATTGTAGAGACCAAAAGAATTTACGGAGATAACAATCAATTATATTAAGTGCAAGAATGCGTTGGTAATACTCTTTGGACCATCAGCTATTTTATGATAATTAATGTTATAACCATCACATGTTAAACCTCTATTGAATCATTTACTTTAAGGGATCATTGTTGTTAAACACTGATAGATATACTTGTGATATTTACTCATTGAGATGGTGGAGATTTGTAGCTCAGGTGGATGATTTTGATGGAGTTTTGTTCTCTGAGCTGAATGGTTTGGTCGTGGAGCGTTCTTCGTTATTCTGAACGACATCATCAGCACAAACTTCAGATAACGTCGTTCAGAAGAACGATGAAAGCTTTACGACTAAACCATCCAGCTCATAGAACAAACCTCCATCAAAATTGACTCATTGTACAATTAATACCTTTCTGGGTTCTTTATATTTGATTAATTAATAACAAAAATATGGAAAGTAATCCTGTGTTGGTCTAAAAAATATCTTTATAAAAGTATGTATTAGGACGAAACGCGCATCCTGGATTTCACTGTCAGCTACCATTCATCCTTGCTTATAAAATTTGTGACTTAAGGTAATATCCAGGCAATCCGCACAGGATGCACCTATGCCAACAATTGCAGTCCTCAGCAACAATAGGAAGGTAAAAGCAAACAACACCAAGTGAATATAATCATTATGTAATATTACCTTATAAAAATTTACAATTGTAAATCTATAATAATTATTATTCTCTGTATTTTGCACACGAAAATAAAACCATTGTGTATATTTTTTTGTATATAAATCTGGTCGTAGATAAAGTTCATATTCATAAGGACCACTAAAAGACAAGGGAAAAAGAAAGAAAACCTCTTTATAGTAAACTCAAAGCAAATTAGCGTTTTTTTTCTGGTTAGCGTTTTTTTAGCTAGTTAGTTTTCTACGGGATGGGGACGCTAATCCCATGCCCAACCCTCCTCCTTCATCCGGGCTTGGATCCGGCAGTAGCCCTCGGAGGGACTCCAGGCGGAGGAAGACCAAAGAACACATTACGCCGAGAAACGGAAATAGACATGAGAAAAATGAACAAGAAATGGATGGAACTAGAAAAAAAGGCCCAGGACAGAGTGGGTTGGAGAATGCTGGTCGGTGGCCTATGCTCCATTGAGAGTAACAGGCGTAAGTAAGTAAGTAATAAGCAAATCAACAAATTTTGCAACAACAAAAAAAATATTAAATTTTATATATAGCGGGTAAAGTAAACAAACAAATGTTAATGCTATACTAGAGCCCATGTGATTAATCTATAATTTACAGAAGGGTAATTGCATGATCTTTCCCTTCAGTCCAATTATCAATTAGTTCGTTTATATATTGTCAGTAGGAATAGTGACTTTCTATCAACTAATTGAGAAGGCGCGAATCGCTAAAGAATGAGCAGCATATTTACAACTGAAGAATATCTGGAACTCAAAGCAATTCTCTGTCAACCAACACCAAGGTCAGAATTTTCAATACAAATGTCAAGACAGTTCTACTGTATGGGGTGAAAACCTGGAAAACTACAAAAGACATCATCCAAAAGATACAAGTGTTTGTTAACGGTTGTCTACACAAAATATTTCGGATCTGTTGACCAGACACTATTAACAACAACCTACTGTGGGAGAGAACAAACCAGATCCTAGCGGAGGAAGAAATCAAGAAGAAGCGCTGGAAGTGGATAGGACACATATTGAGGATAGACAAGCCCTCACATGGAATCCTCAAGGCTGAAGGAAAAGAGGAAGACCAAAGAACACACTACGTCGGGTAATGGAGATAGACATGAGAAGAATGAACAACAATTGAATAGAACAGGAATGGAAGGCCGAGGACAGAGTGGGTTGGAGAATGGTGGTCGGTGACCTATGCTCCACTGAGAGTAACGGGTGTAAGTAAGTAAGTAATTAACCAATTAAAGCACTGACTAATGAGCAACTAAGAAAACCTTAACGTCAATCAGTCTTCAGGACTATTATAATGTTATGGATGCCGAGGAATAATGTGCCAATCATTATCACGTTAAGTCTAATGATGTCCTTGGACGTTAAATGAACATTTCCTATTGGCCATTATTTATTTCACTCGTTAAATATTGTACAAAATGTTGTTTTCTATTTTTATGGCACGATGTGGTCTGTTTGGTTGGTATATAAATAGACTATGTCTGAAATATAATGATTCATAACTCAGAGGCTGTGACTTGCGTTCTAGACTCGACTGGCTGGGCTAGACAGGGCAGCGGGACCAATCGGGACTCTAGGTCGTTCACTACGTGTTTTACGTGTCCACTGAATCGATCGATATAAACGCTGCTTATCAAAACCTGCAGTCACCCGTTAGAACATATAAATCGAAGTTAAATCAAAAGATAAAGATGGTAAGTAGTTTACTTCACTATTATACTCTATTACATCGTGAATTAAAACTTGTACATTACTAAATTTGTAATCTTTGATCATACGGGAACACAATCAAGGAATTACAATGTGTAAATAGCTCAGCGATACAAAATTATACAATTTAAATATAAATAATAATCTGTTATACAGTTAGTCCTACAAGTTATAATTTTACACTAGTTTTCCCATTCTGCCAATTTTATATCAAATTTTAAATAGATACAGTAATCGAGATAGTGTAGTGTTATAACTTGTGACCGCCGATTAGAGGACAGTGACTTATCGATCGAACCAAGGACGCGTAAATCCGTATGAGCAGCCTAGAGTTCTGATTGGTCTTGCTTTCCGCCTAGCCTAGCCCAGCCAGTTAAGTCCAGAACACCAATCTCAGCCTCTGCAATATGAATGATTATATTTCAAACATACTAGGTTTATATACCAATCAAACAGACCACAACGTACCATAAAATAGAAAATAACATTTATACAAAATTTGGCCAAATATGGCTGTGAATGTGGGAGGCAGTGACTAATAGACAGGGCATAATAATAGTTTATGGGTCAAAATAAAGGTTATAATAAGAGGAACATAAATATGAATAGTTTAGCTATTTAATAATTATACGATAAAAATATACGTCCCAAAGTTACCATTCATTATGTTTATCGGGACCCAACATGGAGAAGATTTGTAACTCAGTTGGGTGATTTTGATGGGGTTTTATTTTCTGAGCTGGATAGTTTGGTTATGCTCAAAGGACAAAATTCAATCAAACAACAAAAACCATCCAGCTCAGAGAAGAAAACTTTATGTTAACAACAACAAAAAAATGATACTCAGTGAGAAATTCATTTAAAAACTCTGAAATCAAAAGTGAAACTAGTTTGATTGTTTGTATTTTACAGATTTTAATACACTGATGAAATTTGAAATTATTCGTATAGTTGGTTTGTGGGAAATTTTTTCATATTGACGACTTCTTATAGTTAAACAACTATTAAGAATCATGTTGCTTAACCATCCCAGTCGATGAAGATTCACAATCTCATCAAATGATAGTAAATTAGAGTTGATGAATCTAGTTGTGAATCACCCTCATTTGAATTTAGTACAAAATCATATTTATTGACTCTCGTCTATAGACATTAAGCAGAAAGTAACTCTTGGTTCACCATATTTCCCCAAATGTACTAATACGGCCGAGAATGGGGTGAGGCAGCTCTCCCTATCCAAATGCTCTCACATGGCCACGTGCATACAACCACTGTCAACGAAGTCCAAATCACTGCCTTCTCGTGGATTTAATGTTGTTTACGAAACTGATAAGACGAAAAGTGAATGTCCGGAATTTTAACCGGGTAGGTGGACATGGAGAGTCAGTCAGTCAGTAACAACGTAGAACTTCGTACGTACGTACATCAGTTCGAGTTGCCATACCACATTAGCACACAGATGCAGTTGTCAATTCAAATCCCGTAGTGGTAGAGGTAGTAAAAGTATAAGCAGTAATCGGAAATATTAGGGTTTGTAGATGTTATTTAAAGAGTATAATCCAGTGAAATAAATTTGGGAAGAGAAAAAAGAGACAAGGAGGAATCAGGAGATTAAAATTTGGGAGAACACAAAGAGAGTATGTACCTGCGCCATTGCAAACGATTTTGAGCCATATCATTCAGAGTCTCTAACCATCGGTTGCTATTGTCTCGCGGATCCCAACCAGGTAGTCTACACCTACCAACCTGACTCAGTCCACTTGTCAGTGACTTCGTGGACTTGTGCCATGTTTTGATCTGGCCACACGGGGAGTTCACCTAGGGGAGTTGGAAAACCCTGATTCCAAGCCAGTGGTTCACACGGGCTCCAGTATACTGAAGGAACAAATGGCGTATGAACCAATCGTTGGTCACCGTTGACCATGTAACTCTATCTCCTGACGTTGCTCCACAGCCTTTTGGATCAAACCTTCGAGTCGAAGGCTCGGGGCGTGGCCGCCTTAGAAAACCACCTGCTTCAGTTTTGGCACCTAGGCAGTATCCCAGCCGTCACACAAACCGAATGATTTATGTGGCGCATATCTATTTAGTTCATCATATTACCATCAAAAATAACTTTCTCTCTGAAATGTATCCATAATGAAAGATTTGTACTTCACATATGTACTTTATTTCTCATCAAAATGTCATTTGATTACCTTCAATACAAGATTTAAATTAAATAGTTTTATATAACATAGAATATTAACATTAGAACCATTTGTTTTTCTGTCCTCTATAACACATGAATAGTTTATTATGGTTTCTTTACTTTATTCATTTGTTCTGATTTATAATTTAATCAAAATAATGAAAGATATTTCTATGAATTCTAATTAGATTATATCACATGCAATAATCATTAAACTAGTTATTACATAATAGATAATGTTCGCATTAAAGCTATTCAATTATACACAAATCTAATGTATTCCTTATGGTTATATGTAGATTCTCTTCAGTTTGATATCTAATACTTTTAGTGATAAGTACATTTGTTATATACATTCATCATTAACAAATGTATAAAGAAAGACCTATTTGTAAATATGTGAAGTTATAATACATTATAAGAATAGAGTGAGTTGGAGAAAACTGGTCGGCGGTCTATGCTCCGTTGAGAGTAACGGGCGTAAGTAAGTAAATAATAGATTACATGCTTCTTAATTTGTTAAATCTATATAGTATCAAATCTTCTACCTTATGTGAACAAGTAAATACTGTGTAATGTCCGTTAATATGTTAAATCCACATAGAGTATTTCAACTTCTGGACAAATCAACTTATTCATTCTCCTTAAGCTACATTTTGTCCTTGTCAATTATAAGCGTATATGTATTTCATATCTTACTCATTACATGTTTGTAACTTCTTTTTGTATAACTATAAATATTGATTAACGCTTGATTAAATGGAGTTGACTTATATGCCATCTCAACGGAGCATTGTTTCGCTTCACTCTCTTCTCTTCACTTTATTCCTCTGATTGTCTATTCAAATCAATGAGTGTATAAAATATATTTGTATTCAAAACTCTATTCTCGTATTCGACTTATTTCATTCCATTATTCACTAACGAAATCTAAGTCGATAATTATAGACAAGCAGTGACGATATGTATTTCAATAACAATCAATCATACGACCTAATTGGAGTCAGAATTCAGGTTACTAAAAGTGTATTGAACATGAAAATATAATTCATAGTAGGATTGAAATAATAAGCAATCAAATATTGTAGGATAAATGAAGTGACATAAACATAAACCAATCTCTTTTTTTTCTTTTTAATGTTTTTAGGGGATCTATATTGAATTTCCTGAGATGGTGAAGATTTTTAGTTCAGTTGGATGATTTTGATGGAGGTTTGTTCTCAGAGCTGGATGATTTGGTCGTGGAACTTTCATCATTCTTCTGAACGACATCATCAGCACAAACTTCAGATAGAAGTGAAGTGTTCGAATTTCTCCATATGGGTTTCACAGCTTGTTGTGTACACCTCAACGTCGAGGTGTGCTTATGATGTCGTTCAGAAGAACGATGAAAGCTTCACGACCAAACCATTCAGCTCAGAGAACAAAACTCCATCAAAATTTAATTTCCTTTTTTTATTAAAATCTACAATCTGTTTAAGTGAACATTCATAGATCATAGATCTCAATAGATAAATCAAAGATTAAATACTTATGCTATTTTATTAATACTGTTAATCTATTTTACTGTAAATTTATGGTTTATTCGTAGCAACGAACACATTTTCTCCTCTACAATATAAATCGAGTTCTATTGATTAGGCATTTCTACTAGGAAATCAAAGCGATTTAAAACTTCAATCTCAATCATTCGATCAAAATGATTACGTGATGAATTTATTATTATTATTCATATTTGTTGTGAACAGGAAAACAAGAAGCCGTGACAAACTACGAAAGCTATTTTTTGAGACGTTATTTTATTTTATTCAAAGCTTGTAAAACACTGACATTTATTTTTGTCCCTAATCTATTCTACAGAATATAAGCTTTCGTTCGATATATGGTTCATTGTCATACCCTTTTCTGTTCCGAAGCTATTGTAATTTAAACATAATATTTTGCACCCTATTTTCTACGCTAATCCCCGGCCTTGGACATAACTGTATTTCTCCTAATTATCGTACATTGTGGTCGGGTTATTCACTTATTTATTCATGTACATTTTTACACTAATCAGAAAATCAGGATATCGGGAATAGATCGAGCAGTGTTCCAGTTGGCTTGTCTTCTCTCACTCGCGTGCTTGTTAGCCAATCGATCAGGTGATAGAATAGTTTTCGTCTCTCTAACCCATTCCGAACTCACGCGTACTAGCCTCAAGGTTAGGTCTGCCAGACTATCGCGCCGACGTCTTAATCTGAATTAGATGAGTATCCTCAGCACCAAGAGTGGGTAGATAAACCAAAAGACATAACAATATTCTCTGTAGATTTCATTTGAAATCATCAATTGATGAATAAGTATTGTGTAACTTACGTGCATATTGCTTTGGATAAGTTACCACTTTCGAAACGTGATTCAAATTTTAAAAATTTAGAATCATTTAATAAATTGATTGATTGTCCAACACTTTCATGAGATTTAGAAGCGGTAAACTTAAAAAAGGGAAATAATTATGAATGAAAACGTATACGTGTATTGTATGTTTTTAACCAGTAACCAAAACATATTTTTACATGATTATTGTTTGAACTATTTTGGTTAGTAAAAAGGTTTTCAAACTAGAAATCATTAACACCGATGGATGCCGACTAGCTCAATGGTCTAAGGGTTAAGCGCTCACGTGCGACACTGATAGGTCCTGGGTTCAAATCTCACGGGAGGCGGGATTGTGGATGCGCACTGTTGAAATGTCCCACAATAGGACGAAACGGCCATCCAATGCTTCCATGTTTTCCATGGTGTTCTAGCTTCTATTGACTCATGATTTCAACTATTGAAATTACTATAATATCCACAAACCCCTTCTGAAATTACATTATAGTGAAAAGGATTTTATTTTATCTAATATTTCTGTAAAAATAAATGCTAAATGAATAACTCCTGACTTTTGCTGCAACCTTGACGCGGTGGTCGGGCTTCCTGTCGTAATAAACTGATCGAGCTATACTGGCTGAAACAATCGTTCCTCAAGGTCCTCCCATTCCGGACAGGCTGGCCGAAGAGCTGTAAGATTAGAAGCAGAAAACCCAAGATCCGAGGGCAAAGTCGTACTGCTGAATGTACAGAGGTGTGACTGCAGTAAAGCGTTTCCTTCAGACAATAAGCATAACAGCAATTCTGCCTTCCCAGAAGGAGAAGTGGGGTTAGAAAAGGTCCACCCTAAAAATGCACACACCGCCTTATCCCATGGATATTCGTCTCCAGCAGTAAGGTCTGAACAAGTACGGAGCTAAGACGAAAATTACTCACAAAAAGTTCGTGTGTGACCGACCTCAAGCATTTGTTCGTTGGGCACTGCGGTCACGGTTTCAGGTCACTAAGACTACCTATAATCCAATTTTCTTTGCAGGTACCTCCAGAAGAACCCCCCCATAGTGTGGGCGACCGGGCAGTGATAACTGCCCTCATACATCTAACAGCCCTCAAGATCACAAAAATGAATAACTGGAACTACAGTTACAAAATAATATGAAAGTATATCTTGGATGTACAATTAATATATAAATGAGTGTATTTTCTACTAGAATCGTCGTCGTTGTGTTTTGGGATTAATAAATCATCACTTATACCAGTCTTTGTGTTCTTACTTTCACGTCGTGGGAATTGCAGAGGTCGCTCGTTCCGAGTATAAGTGATAAGCGTTTCCAACATAACAGTCAGCGATGACCAGATTTCAAAAAGTAGCATTAAGAGAGCCAAAACAATAAGCATTCAAACAACAAATTATAACAATGAGTCTATTTATATATATCAAAAAAGTATACATATTTCAGTTTGATATTCAACTCAACTTACAAACTTTCCAATCATTGGTTCGTATTGAAAAACAACCGTGTTATTACTCTCATTATGTTCTCCTGATATAGTTGGCTGAATTTCTTTGCCCGCTAAAACAACATTTAGTAACTAATCTTACTAATAAAGAATATTCGTTATATATATATATCATTTATTGTATAAAACAGTATATAACAGAATAATGTTAAACTTATAAATTCAATGCTTATTACCACTTATCTATGACCATTAAATCTTTTTCCACTAATACTTATCTCCATACAGAGACGATTCTGTTGATCAGTATAGCACAAAATAATTTGAACATAAAAAAATGTCAACTCATATAATCTGTATAAATTCCTTTGGTACTGTTTGCTTGTATCTTCTCATTGTTGTTTACTCGAACCAAGTACTATTTGTTTCGAACGCCATCGCGTTATCCACTTAGTTACTGAGTCCTGATAGTCACCTGCTTGTGCAATGAGGTGAAGTTTAAATTCAATTGGTGTTGTTCGCTTGTATCTTCTGATTGATGTTTGGGACTGAAATTGATCAGTCTCTTATTGGTATATGTGTGGATTGCCTTGATAATGCCTTAAATTACAAGCTTTATACATCTAGCTGACGAGTCTCAAATAGGACGAAACGCGCGTCCTGGTTTTCGTTGCTAACCACCATCCATCTTTGCTCATATAACTTGTATTCACAAATATACACTATTCTGTATACATAAAACTATTATAAGCTATAAGCAGTACATTCTACTTCAGTTATAAGAAAACGAGAATAGTCAACATATCAGTTTTATATATGTATCCCTGTACAGCTATACAATTATAATCACATTAACCAAAACTTTAGTCAAATTTACCATTTGTAAGAAGACAATTGAAACTATAGTGATTTCAAATTGATAAGCATTTATTGTAAGTAAGTTAGGTGTATGAATTATATTTAACACACAGAATAACTTTGATAAGATACTTAATTTTACAATCGTTTCTTTACTAAATTGACGATAGAACGGAAGTTGATGATATAAAAACAAAAAAATAAAGTTAGAACAATATACACGATATTATCATGATATAAAATACTTTGAAAGTAAGAAAATATGATTTGTTTATTAAGTGTAGCAAATTAACTTGCTTTGTACTTATATGTATATTACGCCTGTTACACCTCGTGGAGAAACATAGGCCGCCCATCAGCATTCACCGTCCAACCCTATCCTGAGCAATCTTTCCCAGTTCGTTCCAATTGTTATTCATCCTTTTTATGTCTGATTCTATTTCTCAACGTAATGTGTTCTTTGACCTTCCTCTTTTCCGCTTTCGTTCACGATTCCAAACCAGGACTTGCCTCGTGATATAGTTTAATGATTTCGTCAATATATGTCCTATCCACTTTCAATGTGTTTTCCTAATTTATTTATCAATTGAAAGTTGTTTTTTTTCTCTCGTTTATTAGTCTGTTGCTAATGGTATCCGGTCAACGGACACTGTGTATCTTATATAGACAATTGTTTATAAATACTTGTACTCACTTAATGATGGTTGTGGTAATTCCCCAAATTGTCTTGATGTTCATATTAAAGATTCTTACTATGATGCTAGCTGACAGTTGTTTTGAGTTTCATAATTTTTTTAACTGTAAGAATGCTGTTCTTTCTTTGTCAATCCTCGCCTTTACGTCTGCATTCGATCCTTTTTGTTCATCGTAGATACTTCCCATGTACGTGAAGGATTCCACATCTTTCAGAGTTTCTCCATCAAGTGTGATTGGGTTGATGTTCTTCGTGTTGTATTTGGCGATCTTGCTTTTTCCTTTGCGTATACTGAGGCCTACTGATGCAGAGGCTGCTGCTACACTAGTTATCTTCAACTGCTTTTGTTTGTATGTATGGGATATATGTAAATGTGCAAACAAAAAGATGGTTTGCAAAAGCGCAAATGTAAAAGAGTGCATTGAAAAGAGCATACACCAATAAAAGTGAGTATTAACAAAGGCAACCATCATAAGGGTAAGTTGCAGATATGGATCAAGTGCTTAAAACAAATGGGTTATCAATATTATATCAAAATTGCATTTGACTGTAAGTGAAAAAATATATTGTCTAAAATTTACTGATGTGGAAACTCATACTAATTGTCAAGCAGGTCAACAAGATTCTTGGTTTTGCTGTTGAAAAGTGATTTGTGAAATGATGTGACTGCGTTAATAAGAATAACAAATGTTTAATAAATTCGAAATGTAACAGTATCTGTCGAAAGTAAACTTTTCACTGGACGCTTAAGGAAATACGTTTATGATCACTCGAAAAGACGAACGGGTATAAAGCAAACTTCACACTTTTAAAAATTTACTCCTCTTTTGATGATCAATTTTATTGTTGTACGCGTTTTGCAACTCACCATTTTGATGGCCCCTCGTATCGGAGTGGACCACTTTCAAAATTATTTTTATTTGATGTCTGTGGAATCACCTACTGTATGTTCAGTTATTGAAGGAAATGAAGATTAGGCAAACATCTTATTTAGTTTTTATCTTATATAACTTATTACTGTTGTGTATATTATTACCAAACAGTCATTCACTTATTATCCGGCTTTTTATTTGAAAATAACTTTTTCATGGAGTAATTGATCAAAACATATTGCTGAAAATGGATGAATTAGTTTGCTTTAAATAACAGAATCGGTGTGATAAGAGTAGGTCGATTTTCATAAGCAGAGAAAAAAGCATTAATCAAGCAATATTTTTATGAAAGGTTGATGTATAACTTAGTAATGCAGTTTGCCTTGATCTTTAGTATAGGCCGAACCCTGTCGATCAATTTACACCTAGGTGACTAGTAGAAGTAACTCGATGCCGTGTGGATTTTTATTATTATCGAAAGTAGTCATCATAAAACTCTGGATCAAGGTTTCTTGCCAAATGGTCAGTAAAATCCTATTATTACTACAGGATTTGACCAATATGACATTGTTGACTTCCCAGTGACTTATCATTCGTAAATACCTCAGTCCTCTAAGAAGTCATTCACTGTTTGAGTAACTAGGTGGTACCAACTCTGAATATGGAGTTAAGTAACGCTGGGTTAGATCTCATGGGAGTGTCGGTGTCCTTGGAATTAAAGATAAGCCTCACCACTATCAAAGCATAAAACCAAAGTCCTGATTTTCTTATTGACTACTTTTGATCAACTAACGATAACTTTACCGGTTAAATAGAGTTATACAGTAAGTATAACTGATCTTTATGTTCACAACCGAGTGTTATACACGTATGTTGTGAAGAAAGTACTAGTAAATTACATATGGTCGATTCACTAGTCAGGTGCTTTAATTGAAAGTTTAATTTACCCCAACGGCCTTATTACATATTACCAACGTTTATTAAGCTTGTTTTCGGTCCATAGACATCAGTACTCATTGTATATATGTGCCGGAATGTATTTAGGTAGTTTACGAGCCATAGTGAGGTAAAAATTAATTATGATTGTCAGCGGATACATATAAATTCAGATTGTAGAGTATAGTTTTATAGGACTAAATAATCCTATGGAATTATAACTTTGTTAATAAGACGGCTTCTTTACAACGCATCGTCGAAAAATGTATATAAATATATTATACGACAAGCTAAAACCACAAACAACAACGAAAAGTCACAAGAAATTACAAGAAACCAGCAAAGTTTTGAAGACGTACTAGTGAATTGAAGCGGAGTTTATGACTCACTATCCGTCTACACATTTTTTCGGTCTGTCGCAAACAAAATAAAACTTAGTTTGAAACCAAAACATAGTTGATACAGATCAACAAATGAATAAAACCAAATGATACAAAGATGTCGAGTGAGTCAATTCAGTTGGTTTGAAGTCATATACCTTAGGGTTACTATTATTCCATGAGTATCAACAAAGCAAGTCAAATCTCTTCACAGATATCCCTCATACAGACTACTGGCGGCTTTGCCTAACAATAGTATATATTGGTTCCTTCAAACCCATTATTCTTTTAACCCGTTTATAAGCTAGCCGTTGTTTTCGTTGTAAGTAGTTCGAAAACAACCATGGTCGACTGCGTGAAATAAAAACTCATTTTCTAATTTCAAATGCCATTTCACAGAAATTTGGAATGAACAAAAGAAAGACAAAATAGTTGTGTGCTTATGATATAGATGGTGCAACCTGATATAAGACAAATGAAATTTTGAGTCTGTTTTGAGGTTAAACATAAATCTGACGAAGCTGATAAACACAGGATTTCAAAATCAGTACCTACAATATAAACCCTCTGAAAAAACTGAGACGAAACTCACTTGGCTTGTATAATCTTTCTCTCTCTGGCGGTGGTTTATTTATGTGAAGTATTCGATCAGGTATTAGCTCAAAATTCAGAGGCCTAAAATGCCATAAAAGAGTTATGATTATTCTATTCAAATGTTACGTAGGAATCGATGCTTTTTACTGTCACTTTAACTTATTTAGTTGTAGACCATTAACCACTCTTTGAAAGATTCTTAGGTTCAAGCTTGGTAAACATTTTCACGATGTTAATCAAATTTAAAGATCCCTTCGTTATACGTAACAGCTCTCTTATGAAGCTCACCATTTACAAGCTGTGTACAGTAATGCACATTGACCAAATAAAAAAGGACCACAAGTGTGCATTGTTTTAGTATCCGAATAAACGTTTGCATCGGAAATAAAAGTGAACTAGCAGACTTCCATTTTTGTTCCGGATATCCGTGAACGTTTAATTGAAATCCTAGTGATTATGCTTTTTGTGTTTTGTCTGTCTGTGTACTTATTAATTCAGAGAATATTAGAAAATTTCTTAAGGCTTAGCAAACTCAGAAAAATTTACCTAAAACTTTTCTGTTTCTATCCCTACTAACAGACACTGTCCTCATCTTAAAACCATTCTTTTACATTCACGTTTTGGTCCTACATAGTGTTATGCTTTGTTAAGTGAAAATAACTTACAAAAATTGTCTAACCGACGTCGAAATAATATTTTTGAGTTAGTTTTAGCATCGTTTTCATCACTCTTCAGTTTAAAACAAATATCCGTTATCTTAAAACTGTCTTACGCGTATGCTGTTCACATAGTGTTCACTTGGGTAGATAAGACTTGTAACGTGATACTTGATTCTTGAATATCAAATCTATAAATTTATAAGCCTTAAGGCTTAGAGTAAAAACTTGGAGTAAGTTTCCTCGTTTCTATAGTGTCTTAAAATTTCAAAGTCCCTGACATTCATAAAGAACTTTGTTTTGTAGAGCATGACTCTAGTAATCTCTTGGTCGAGTAAACTTATAGGTTTATATATGTTTTACATATGGAGTCCGAAGCTGATTGTACACACCAAAACATGTATTACACCTAAAACCCTAAACATTTAGCAAAACTGCGTAAGAAACGAGCCGCGTATCGTAGCAGTTTACTTTTTTAAAATATTGTTATATAAAATTACTTTGACTAACAATTTAATTGAGTCTGGTTTCCAATTTGTTGAATGATCGCTGTCCAGTGACTTTGGTTTACTCAGTTTGGCAGCTAATTTCCCATTGTTGAGTAAAGAATAGTAAATCTGTCGCGTTTTCAACACATCTTCTGATTTCTCCTCTACATGATAAAATTTCGTGGATTTTTGTCTTACTTAGAATTCTGCCAATCCATTCCTCTCTGATAGGATTGAAATTTTCTGGGAAATCCGACGTTTTTACCGGAAATCCATCATCTTTTTGAAGTGTTTCAGCAATCATTTTAGTAGTACAAGAAAGATTTTCGTAAATCCGCACACCTCTAAATTCACGAAAGACCTTAATGTTACTACACAATTATTAAGTTAAAACGCTCAATCCTTTGCAACCATGATCAAATGCTAATTGGAGTTCAGAAGTGAAATGGAACGTATGATGCTTTTGTCTTCCAGATTTAAGTATCGTTTTCAAATATATTCGTGATTTATTTTGTTAGACACGTGGGACGTGTGCAATGTTACTGGCCCTCGCCAAATAATCACATAAGCATGTCACTGAATGTTGAACGGCTTGACGAAACTCATCATAGTTAGGAATAACCAACACATAATAAACAATCGCCTGATATGTGAATTGGCATACTGCGGCTGTTCCGCAATCTAACGTAGGATTTAGACATAAGCCGGGAGTTTACATTATTCTCGTCCAATTCGACTAGGCCTGCGATCATCGACACACAACATCTTCATCGATGATTCGCAGAAAAAAACGTGTAGGAGATTATTTAAGACATCTGTGCAAGTCCCGAAAAATAGATTCCTTTTCCAAATACTTAGTGGTATTCATTACGTACACTGTTTCTGCAGTTCAATTTCTGCCTAAACAATTATCAACACTTCGGTATTGGAACTTACCGAATTCAAAATACATTAAGTCGTTTATACGTAGATCGAGGGATAAACATCACAATCACTTTCCAGTACATTTGTTGTTAAGCAACATATGTGCATATTGCTTTTACTTAAGAAGAATTGTGGATGACTTTATATGGAAATATTTATTATGCAACCAGTCAAACAGAATCCCGTCCCCACTCTACTCCTGTCAACCAGTATATGGCATGTAATGACAAGGCTTTATTTATCAATCACCCTGATAACCATTATTATATAATTTCCAACTGTGTTTTGAATCAGAAAACAGTAAGCGGTGACTGCAGTTTATTAGTGGATAGCACAGATAACAAAGTCATAAGCACATCGAGCGAATGGGACCAGAGAGGCGGATATTTGTCAGCGAGCAAATACCGAGACGAATTTACAGCCAAATCGAATAAGGCGCAGCTAGGCAAGGCAATGGCTAATAGGATCTAAATATATATATGCATAGGAAAGAGAATGACTCATCTAGTGATATTTAATTGATTAGCATTCAAACCTGAGAGAGATACGTGCATGGGCTGTCATGTGACCGAGCGTACACGTTTATACAGAAATGATAGTGTTATAATAGTACAAAGGAATATGCGAAATGTTCTTAATCGAATAACATTGTGTTAAATAAGTTGACAAAAAGGCTTAGCAAAAGTTAACCGTAGTGGAAATTGATTGTAGGAGAGTTGCTATAAGTGAAATGTCACTGAGCACTAGCAGGTTAGTTCATCTGAGTGATTCACTAGACGGCAGATTACTGGAATTTGATAGATTTATAGAATATGGTAAAGGTCAAAAATTATCAGAGTGGACTTTTCAAGCGCTTTTCGGTGCAACGGCTTTTAAATAGTTTTTGGAGCTAGCGTTTGGAGCTTCTGCATGGAAACCATTCATTGTCTCCTTCGGTGTTAGCTGATGGACGACAAAGACTCTAGCTGAACAGACTATGTTTACTGTACTTAATCGCAACCCTTATTCATCATGAACAAGAATGCTTTTTACATGAGACTTCTCCTCATACTTATAAGCAGGCCTCTCAGAAAAACCATGACACCAAGAAATGGCGCATCCTCCGGTGTCCAACCTTCGTTCACTTCTGATTTATTTTACATGGTACACCAAATCGTTTCCATAAGACTGTAAGATACAAACTAAGGTTTTGACTGAAGAATAGCTGTCTAGGTGGGTAAGATACGCACTCTTGCCCGGTTGAAACCAAAACAAGGTAAGTGGGTAAAATGATGGTTCTAAAATTCGTTGTAGGGCCAGCAAAATGTTACTAAGCCCTATCCAAATCATCCGGCAGTTGGGTCATTGAATACCGAACAAATCATCGATCCTTGTCAAGGTCAAGGACAACCAACACAGATCAGTTAATGGTACGCCATGGACTGGCCCATGCGGCAGTGGTCTTACTTTCGCTTGTATCTTCTTTAACTAATATAACGTCCACGGTGTTGTACAGTCTTGAAAGCATTTATAGTACCTTGGTACGTCAATGGGCTAGTCCACGTAAGGTGCTGACCACGAGGTGTGACTTCGACGTTAGTTGGTTCGTCACACCATTCCCGTCTAACTCGAGTAGGTCTCCAATCATTCGACTCAGATCATCTACGTTGGTGATCTACATCATCATAAATTTAAATGTATATTGTTACTTGAGCAAATATGACCACCCAGATATCCAACCAATAATTATTCATTTACTCAAATCTTAATTACAATAAATAAGGAAGTTGATAAAGGATGCGAGAAAATTACCAGTCGCAACAAATAAATGTTATTCTATCTTGTCTGGATAGACCACGCACATATTCGTTCATAAGATAATATCTGTTTGCTTTATAACACAGAGTGTTTCCAATTCTGGAAGAGTGCCTCAATTCACAATCAAAAATGCACGATTCCGGTCAATACAAGCAACACAATCAAAAAAGGGAGGGCAAACCAATATGGCTGCCGACAAGACCAAGTATCAAGTAAAACAACATAAATGCAGTTCAGGAAGAAACACGGAAACTTTGTTAATGCCATGGACATTCCTGTCAACGGCTCACATCAGTTACGTTTTTTGCTTTCAATTCTGCAGTTTAATGAGACTTCTGCGTCATTTTTGTCTTTATTGATAAGTAAAATAGTAGGTTGGACCGGCGTAAGTCCTTTCGGCTTGTTTTCCGATGGTGACCTGGCTAATTCTTGAAGATATTTACTAATGACGTTGATGCCACTTGTTCAAGCGCTCTAGTCGTTCACCACTTGATTAGAAAAATGTGATCAAAGGAGAAGGTTCGGGTGTTTTAAGCGCTTTTAGCACTGTTAGTTACCTCTCTAATTATCTCCACTAATATTTCCCACTAAGCACATCATAGTTGCTTTTGCTATTCGTATTTGCGTTTATAAACTAGCCTACCAACTTAGTTGCTATCAACGTCTAATATAGTTAAATCCATATGATATATCAAAGCTACATCACTAAGATATTATCGTAGTGCACTAGTGTGACAACTTGAGTAGAACTTAGTTGTTAATCATACGAGTGCTCAAAATAGCCGTTCAGTCTACTTTTAAACTAAGCTCAGTTTTCCGCAAACTGATTTGTAATTGTTGTAACGTGAGGTCTGCAGATTTGTACGCAGCGTAATTATCGATCGGATCAGTGACACGTAAAACACGTACGAACGACCTAGAGTCCCGATTGGCCCTGCCTTGCTGTCTAGACCTGCCAGTTGAGTCCAGAACACAAGTCTCAGCCTCTGAGATATGAATCATTATATTTCAGACATACTCTGTTTATATACCAACCAAACAGACCACATCGTACCATAAAATAGAAAACAACATTTGCACAATATTTAACAGGTGAAACAAATATCGACCAATAGGGAACGTCCATTTAACGCCCAAGGACACCATTAGACTTAACATGATAATTACTGGTATATTTTTCCGAATATCCTAACAGTAATCAAATCACACAAATCTAATTCATTGAGTTTGCAAATAAAATTTAAATTTTCTAGCACTTACGAGTCTCTAGACCTGGATAAATTTCCAACCATTAAAAATTTTAAGTAAATAGGAAAACAACATTTATTTTTTGCCAGCTAAAGCCGAATCAACACCATGACTAGTTATTCATGATTGTTTCCGAACATCGTTGTAAAGCTTCGTCACAACTAAACAGTCACGTGATATGACTGGTAAATTTGTTGAAAATAATATCTAAAACCCGGTCTATAAATTGGCTGACAAGTGCCGCTAAATAGTACTGTTTTGTTATGGTTATCTTTGTCTAACGAAGATTACTTCAATGTATTTTTCTATCGCTCGCTCCTTTACTGAACATATTAGGACCTTGATAGTCTAATTGCGGGTTTTGCGACACAAAGATATGTGAAAATCACCAGTGTGCAAATCTCCTGAGATTTGAAAGCGTCATCGTCGAAACTCTCCAACAATGATAAAAGTTCATCCCATTATCATAGACATGTGTTGGAAGTTGTACTCACCTTGGTTATAGTTTATACGCTCCATGGTAATCACATGGACAGCACTCATAGTACATCATCTTACAAAGATTTATTAGGACAAAAACCTAACTTTCAACTAGTCTTTGAGTAGGTTTTCTTTTAGACGTGTTAAGAAATAAAACAAGCACTTTGAAATTATTATGTGTATTTCCCGATCTGTTGCTGCTGCTATATTATTGACTTGTCTTTTACATTAGCATTGCCAGGAGGATTCGCATTAATCTCCAAGTGACCACTGGTACAGTAACCACTCTTTGTTTTGCAAATGCTACTGGTTCTCAATCACACGATCCTTGAGGCTGAAGGCACGATAACTAAGAAGATTTTTTCAACATCTTACACCACAGAGGAGGTTAGCCATATAAGCGTCGTCACCCTAAGTATCTTTTTCCACTTCACATTACATACATTATCCTGTTACCAGCTCAATTGTGTCATTCAACAGTGCTGAATATCATATTACTGATTATCGTGTGGGACGGGTCAGTACAAACAATGATGTGACTTCCACGTGAGATCTCATAGAGTAGGTGGTCACATTATAGCAAATCTACCTTTTTGGGATTAGATCTATCATTCCAGTAGTATTCGCTCCCGAAGGGCTGATTATTCGAAGATCCACCAACCGGAAATTTTGTTCACCGTTTTGAAGACAGATTTCCAGTTTGGCCCGTGCGGCTTTTTTCATTCTGTCTTCTAGAGAAATTTTGGGTTCTACTCTAGTGACTTCGGATGGAGATTTCGTTGTTCCTTTGACCCTGGGATTATTTTAAGTATTAATGGTCAGTATTGGACGATTTCATTGTTTTTTATATAACTCTTAACAATTTTCCGGTTTGAACTCTTGTATGATCATCTGCTAAGA